GGAGGGTAATATTTACAAATTTTTTATTTACAAACTACATTATGTACTCCCGGGGGTACATAGTAAGATTTGTAAAAATTTGTAAAAAGAAGTTTGTAAACGGATCCTTTTCCAATATGATATATTATGTTTTTTTATTTAAATGAATATTATATTATATAAGTTTATCTGTTAAATTTTTTAAATAATGAATAACTCAATAGGTTTTGGAGAGTATAATTAGAATTTATTGGTTTTAATGTAAAAGTCAGGAATTTTTTTTTCATAATCCTCACAACCTCAATATATTTGTAGTTTGTGCCTTGCTAATGATATCGCTGATCTCCACCTCTGTGACACCATACCTTTTTTTTTTTTTGGGTACATATGTGGCACCATAACTTCTCCTTTCTTAATTTTTGTTTTTTTACCTAGAATAAGATATTTAAAAAAAATTATATATTTAAATAAAAATCAATACATTTAAATATTTTTTATTTTGAAGATTAAATATACTGTAATTTTATTAAGAGCAAACATGATACTTTACATGTTATAAAATTTAATACAAATTGAATCAGTTTTTGATTTACTTGGGAAAGCTTTATTAAAGGGGTACTTTTTTTCTTTATATCGGTCAAAATAGTATAAGAAGATTCCTCTATGATGTATGCGCCTCTTTACTAAAGCATAAAAAGAAAAAGAAATATAGAAAATAATCATTGAGGAAGAGAAGGCGTAATACATATATAATTAGGTCAGCTGAATAATTTATTTGTACAAAATCATTCATGTTTCGAATTAAATTTTCCGTGATTAATGGCCATTGATGTTGAAATTTTCGTACTATTCGAGAAAGCAATCATAGGCTTTGAGTGTTTGGAAAGAACCATAGAATTCACCCTTTAAAATAACTAATATTTAACCGTTATTTACTATAGTGGTATTGAATTAACATTTGATTGGATAAGAAATAGTTGTGACTCAAAATGAGGATTGATCAAGTTAAAATTGTATTTCTTTTGGGTTCAGAATTGGAGAAACTGGCAATAAATTAACTCAAACAATGGTACTATATGTACCCCATCAGTTCTATTTTATCTTTTAGCAATCAATTGAAAAAGAAAACAAAACAAGGGGAAAGTGTATTGTCACGAAGCTTCTTCCAACTTGCAAATATCAGTGCTTTATTTCTTGTCCTTTATAAAAGAAACTCAAATCAACGGGAGAAAGCACCCAGTCTACCATTATACTCACTCTGGAGCAAGCACAACTCAAAATCTCATCCCCTGTTCTTTCCTAAAGGGAAGGCAATTGATGGCATTGTGGACCCTTTTTTTGCTTATTAATTATGGAATATATTTTTTTTATGTTGTAAGAAAAAAATTACCTTATGTTATAGAAATAAAAGTATATGTGAGACCCACGGGTAAGAAGAGAGAGAAAAAAGAGTGGTGGGACCACACCTCTTTTTGTGTGTATAGAAAAATTGTTTATCTCATATAAAATGAGATAAACATAACCCATTAATTATAGTGTAAAAAAGAGAGCACTAGTGCTAGTATTTGTGCTTAAATTTGCTTCCTTATTCACATGGAAGACCTTGACAACAACTAGATAGACCTTATCGTTAGCCCAAGTTCCTATAGACATAGTATGGCTAGAGGCTAAGATCAATGGTACCTTGTCTTGCCAAATAGCTATAAAAGGACATCTGACATTTACTTCCATTGTTGAAGCCTAGCTAACTAGCTATGGCCCAATATATGTTTTGTATTTACCATTGCTTTCTTCGTTCCTTGTTTTGAAAGGGCACAATAGTTTCCCATCCACTTGGAATCTTTCTTTTTTTGTTCATAGAATGTCATTTATTTGTTTTGTAACTGAGAGAGGTCCATCTCTATTTCTCTTTCTCATTATTAGGGAGGCTTTATTGGACAACTTGCATTCAGACAAATAAGCAGCATTGCAGTTGTTAGCATTAGGAGGGGAACATAGAAGATTTTATTTGATTGCTTGATAATACTCTTTAGATATACAATCTATTAGAAATTTAACTTACCAAAATTGGTCTAAGATGTTCGACGGGTGCCTCGTGGGTTTGGCTAATCTGTGTGGTCCTTTATATTTCCATTTTCACTTAAACACTTCTTTTTTGTAATATTGATTTCTAATCTTGCACTACTTGAACTGGACTAATCAAATTTATGAGAATTTTAAGACAATCGTCCCCTATATGAGTCCGATAACACTTCAACTAAATAAATCAAATTTCGGATTAACTGGTTGGTAAAATAGGAAAAAAACTTACAATAAAATTATGTTTATGCAAGGACTTATATAAAAAGTTTACGATGGTTTAATTTTGTGAGAAACATTGTTTATGCAAGTATATATCATTTTCTCTTTTTTTCCTGTTTTCTATTGCAAAGTTCTTTTTGGTTCTAGGAAGACTATTAATTGAACTCAAGAAACGAGAAGAATGAAAAATAAGGATGCGAACGATCCATCTCTTGCCACTTAACTATAACCCTTAATAAAGACGGGGGAGATTACAGATAAATTAACTATTTATTCAGCCAATTATTGCAATTATAAGTTCTATTAATTTTATAATATCTATAACAGGAGATCAAAGTCAGAAATATTTCGAAGGGTCGTCAAAATAGAATGCGAAATGAATTAGCGACCATGCATACTCAAACCCACCATTCATCAAAAGATTCTTACACGAGCTTATTTAAGGGGACCTCATGCAACGAATGCAAATAAGAATAAATCAGTTTCTTTCATTCCATATACATCAACTATTAATCTCGATAAACTAAATTCGTTGCAGGCAGACAATTAATTTAGATCCCAAAAGAACATTGATAGCAATGCGTGCAGCTTATCGAGTACTCGTGCATGTGTCAGTGTTTGTACATGTAATAGCAACACGAAGAAAACACTTAATCAAAACATCTAAACCGTATATGCTTATTTAATTGATGAGTTCGAATTATTTTCAGTTAAGTAGTTACCATACTTATCAAAGAGTGTTTGGTATACACAAAAGGTGATGGATTTGAACCTTCGAGTTCGTAAAAGAATACATGAACGGGAGTTAATCTTATATCAAAGAGAGTAAAAAATAAATAAAATACTCAAGACCAAAATTTAGTGTGTTTGGTTTGATAAGTTGAAAATTTTGGAATTTAAACCAATTTATAATTATTTAGTGTAATAAAAATATGAAAATAAACTATATATATATATATATATATATATTTGTGGATAAAGATAAAATATACATATTTTTACTTCTCATTGGAAATTACTTATTTGATTTTCCGTTATTTACATTTTAAATGTTCAACTACTCAAATTAAAAAATTTTAAAAAAGAGAGAGTTTAGATTCCATCCAACCGCTTTAGGTCTGAATTGATTTATAAAATGATGAGTTAGTTAGTGTTTGTAAGAAATACTATTATTTTGGGATGTTCGGATTCAACTAAGATTCTGTACCTAGGATTAAGCTAGTGCTCGGTTTTTGCGCTCTTATCATGTGCACCCTTTGTCCGAAACATACATAATATCGTTCACGAACTAGGAATACGGTGACTCTTATAATAACTATATCCACTTGGTTGAAAAGATAATATTGATCCCTTTTGTATTGAACGGCCTCTAAATTTGTATAATAAAAAGTAAATTTTGTTTTAATTCTTAAAAACATACGCTAGTTGTCAACTTGATGCATGTTCAGCTGATATTAATTGGTAATAGAGTGGGTTTTATATCAAATGCGCGCATATGAAATTCTATCATAAACTTGGTTAACTCAAGTATAGGATTCCAATAAATTATTGATAAATATTATAATATTTAATCATTAGTTAATTAATTTTAACAACTAACCATGAAATAATTAATAATGATAATTAAATAAGTAAAATGAATAAAGTTTATGAAAAAATTTCCCAACGCGGAAATGGGGGTAGAGTTTGTGGAGGACAGAGCCTACCAACGACTTATAAGTTTACCTCTCTTCTTTATCAATCATTTAATCCTTTTTTTAATTTATAATTCTTTTCCTATATATGTTCATATTCTCAATTTAATTTGATTCACATTTTCTTTTAATCTGGCTTCCTCACTGTGTGTAACCGGTTACAACCGATGTTACGTTTCACCTTTGTATTTGATCATGCATGGTTGTTAATAACAAAATCAAATGTACTTTTGTTAATTTATCGATCAGTAAAATTTGCACTTTTACAAAAAAAAATAAAAACTGAAAAAACAGAACAATTGATGAACAGCTCAGTATATCGGTTTGTACTGTATCAATGAAAATAGGAAGACAGTTAGGTGAAGGAAATTAAAGGAGATGAAATGGAATTAGCAAACAAAAATGGATTGACAATAAATTTGCTGCAGCGTGCAGTATATTAATATGCGTATGATATTTTTCATATAATAGGAGATAAAATTATCATTTTATTCTTACACACATATAAGAGTGTATGAAACTCTCATACCCACGTGAAGTAATGTGAAGAGAATAGAAAAAAAAAAAATTTATTTCATATAACATGAGAGATATTAAACTCTTAACATATTTCACAAAACTTTTACTAAAACCGATGAGTTTCCCTATTTCATTAAACATGGTCATATGTATATCCTTCATTTCTTAGGTCTTATCATAGGCATAAAAGTCTATGGGAAAAGTGTTTATCCTTTTAAATGGCACAACTTATATCTTTTCACTCTCACAAAGAGGTAGGACCCACAACTTTATATTTTTTTGTCTACTATCTCTCCTCCTTTATCTATCTCTTTCTCTCACTTAAAATGACACAACTTTATATCGTTTAAAATGATACACTTTTCCCAAATTCTATTCATGCATAAAACAATAAAGTGTTGCTTCCTCAAATATAATAAAACGACAGCATGAAATTGGAATGATCACATCAAAACGTGTACGAAATAAATTAGAAGCCTATCTTCTTTGTTTCATCTCTATTATCTTTCACTTTGTCACGCCTTCTATAAATCCCTTTAAGGACCCTTTTGGTTGCAGATCGAAGCCCTTTGCATCTGATCTCTTCATAATCCTCAGCCTCTTGCATGACTCGATAAACATCCTGCAAATGTACCACTTTATATATGAATACAAATTTTTCTACTAGTTGTATAAAATTTTACATGAAAAAATAAAGGTAAAATTATTATAGTTTCAAATAGAAATAATTAAAATTACTATTATCGTTATATGTATCCTTGTTAAAAAATTTATTTACTTATATTTATCTTTTATATACAAAGTTCATATATTTTTCGTGGAAGTTGTAACATTTGACCAACCAAATGATGATAATTTAGTTGATACCAGGAAACTGAGTAAGTGAAGATGAGAGCATATATTTAATCTTTTTTAGTATCGTCTTTGGAAGAGGTTTAAAATTTTAATTTCGAGACATGTCTCGAATCAGACTAGTTGAATTGATTGGAATATATCTAAAAAATAATTATTCTCGGGAAATGTGGCCAACTAATCCGAAGTTTTTCTCTCTTTATTTTAGTGTGTCTAACAATAATAGCTTTGCCTTTTTGAGGTCAGGCCATTATTGATGATATCCTCCGTGCCCCCCTCTCTCTTCCCATGCTGATGTTGTCGAATCTTATAATGAGAGATTCACACATGTCGGCAATATGTGATCCAAGATAATTTTTGGTTTTGAGATTAAGATGATATTTGGCATATAAAGTAGAACTTGGACTTGATTAGGTCAATCGACAACTAAAACAACTTAATCAACACGTATCTAATCAAGTTTCCTTTTGGGGGACTACAAAATGATTTTGTCAAACTTATTCTGCGTTCAATTTTTGGACCAATTCGGATGGCATTTAAATCTGTGGGACTACGTACTAGCTTAGTTGACTCATCATATTATAAACCATGCATCTTTAGTAGTTGTAATTAGCACGTAATAAGCATCATTTATACATAACAGTGATAGAGATCAAGTAGCAAAGTTAATGAAATTCCCTAGCACACAGTTTTCAGACACGGAATCATAGTTGGTGGTGGATGCACTATAAATGTTTGGCGGTTTTTCTGAGCAAACACGGAAAGCTGACTCTATGGTGGACAAAAGTATTTCTGATTTACTTGACTCGTATTTGACACGTATATTACTTTTGTATCTGGAAACATGAATAGATGCACACACCCCAAACCAAAAACAACACACACAAAAAGTGTAACCAATTATAAGGGATTTATTTATTAAGGTGCTTGGGAAGATTACTGGTAATATTATTTTGTATAAATTCAAATGTTAATTAATGGTATAAAAAATATATTTATATATGTATTATAATTGTAGTATTAAACTAATATAATATAACCTAGTTGGCTGTTGTGTGCTATTAAACTGAATCTGAGTTTCATATCTGGTATAGTTAAATGCAAGTTAATTTTTATCATCCATCTCTAATTCAATCTAACAATTTATGAATTTGTGCAATAAAATGGGTCAGCGCAAAAACCTAGCTTGTTGGTTGCTAATTGTTATTGGATTAAATTTGAGACAAAATTAGAGACAACATAATTATTCATATACAGAAAACTTCAATTATGGCTAAATTCAATTTGGTTCGAAAAAGTTGCAGGCCTGTTACACTAGACAACATACTTTTCTGTATATAAAAAAGAAAGAAAGAATAAAGAGGGGCCAGAAGGACTTACTCCCAAGGAACATCTCCAACCAGCATCCAGTCACCATCTTTGTCCTCGTAGATGGGAACGTGTTCAGAATTGTCCGCATCCTTCAACGCCTCGCCTGTTAATTTTGAACAAAATATTATCGTTTTTGATTGTCATTAACTCAAAACCTTTTCTTCTTTTTTTCTTTCTTGGCGATAAGGGATTTGCTTCCCTTTTAACCTTTTCTGATTAAAGTTACATTATTATATATTTAAGTTCGTGATAAACTTTAATATATAGTAATATATTTATTATTAAATTTTATAATATAAAAATATACATTTTTATAATTTTAAATTGTTTGAAGTAGTGATTGTGTATAATATTTAATTTGAATTGTATACTCTTTTAACATTATTTTTCTAATTAAGTGTTTATGAATAATTATATTATGCTTAATTCCCTGTCATGCATCGAGAGATCGAGTAAAACAACTTTATACACTGCATGCCATCACATATTAAGGAGAATGTCTAACTATTATATACGGTTTCCTCTCCCACTTTATCCCTCTATGTCTCCCGTCTAAATTATTTTAATAATGCCCATTCTTTCTAGGATTTTCAAAATTAATTAAGTAAAGCTTCTTCATAACAATTATCGAGGTTAAAATATAGGTAGTGAACATTAACTTAAATGGATGGGCATCTCTATTTTTTATTGGAAGAGAAGAGGTTATACTTACTACCTCTTTTTTTACTATTAAATTTTAACTGTTGATTTCTGTCAATCTAACGGTTATAATTTATTAAAAATTAATAATTAATCAATAAGTATGATCCAATAAATTACAACCGTTAGATTGACGAAAATCAACGGTTAAGATTTAATAGTAAGAGGTAATAAGAAAAAAAAGTAGTAACTATAACCTTCCCATTTTTTATTTTTTCGGTGCATAGGCATCTCGAATTTTAGGTGTACGTTGAGTTCATGAAGCGCATAGACTACTAAACCTATGAAGCACCGTGTTGTTCTTACGCGTTCAAGTATATAATATTCGTACATATGCTCTTATGATTGAGAAGATGAGATCTTGAGTTCCAAAATACATCAAGAAAAATATAGCTAGTAGGCTATAATACTTTTTCAAGTTCCAATAATCTTGTTTCTGAATTTCTTCATTGATAGCTGGCCATAAACTATAACTAGCACGATTAATTAATGTTTATTATACATATACATATATATAGGAATTATACACCTATATATGTATAATTTTGCATGTTTCTTTCTAAAATCTCAACCATATATATGTGTGTACCCTAACTAGCATGAAAATATTTTACAACAATATTAAGGAAGATTTAATTATTAATGATGCACAGATAAAAAAGAAAACGTAACTAACCGATTCCATAACAAGTGAAGAGCATCTCCAAGGCCAAGGCTAACTCTGAGTATCCCTTATGCATACCTAAATCAATTTTACGCAAGAACGGAGCACCGTCCATGCTAACCTTAACGTACATTTTTGAGGCTTCATTCATGCTGTTCTTCTTCCGGTACGAGCACACCGGAGGCCACCCCACCACTTGATTCTTCGTCGGCATTTTTTTCTGCCGGTTTCCGAAGCAACTCATCATGTTTTCATCATCAACATCAGCCTCATCAATCTCCGAGAACACCCTTTTCTTCTCGTTCTTGTCCACCGCACCAGGAAGGCCCAACCTTAGCTCAGTGATTTCAAGTCCAAGACCTTCTTTGTCCATTTCTCAGTTGATATTCAGATTCAGGGTATCAAATACAAAACTAGTGTTCGGCAATTTCGGTTTTTGGATTGAGAATATATATTTTGTGAAGAAGCAATGGTTTAATTTGTATATGGAAGGAAGAAATTAAGGGTTGGTTATAACTTATAATATATAAAAAAAGTGAATGAAAAGAATATAGTGGGAGCAATGACAGGTCAACTAAGGCGAAGTGGTCGGTCACATGAGAAACAAATGTAGGGACTGAGTGTTTCCCTACAAAAACCATTAAAGACCGGCACCATAAGTTGGACATGGGGACAGATCCTACGACTGTAGCTGCCTTGTGATTTGGTGAGATTTGATCATAGCCGTTTGATTACCTGACTGGGGAACAAACCATGTGGTTCGCTTGATTGAGAGTACAAGTCTTCGGAATAATTTATACCTGAGGCTGAAGGTTACTTGAAGAATTAATGTACATGTTTGCATACAATTGCATGTTTTCAAATAAAATAATACACGTCTCTTCTTTAATTTTTAGAAATTACAATAAATTCTCACACTTTATCTTTTTATTTTTATCAAAGAAGTACTTCCATTTAGATTTACTAAAGTTATAACAGAAAAACCTCTTTTAGCTATATATATATATATATATATATATATATATATATATATATATATATATATATATATATATATATATTTGTACATATATAGTAGTGTTTGTGTTTGGGGTGGGGGTGGGGGAAGCACAGAGGATAAATTTGTATAAAAAAATTCGAATTAGGGGAGGGGAGTAAATGTAATATTAAAAAAGAGGAGCATACTGAAGTTTCTCAAATTTCAGGTGAGGTACATGCTGATAATTTAGGATATTTTCTAGGACCATTAAAGAGCCTGTTTGTTTCGTCTTCTCAAAAAAGTAACTTTTATCTTTTTCTTATTTTAAAAATGCTTTTTATAAAGTTAAAGTTATTTATATTTTTATAAAGATATTTAGTTTTGAAAAAAATATTTGGTTTTTGACTTTTATTTTTTTTAGAATTTGAAATTTTTAGTTTATGAAAAAAGTAGATTTTTGATTTTTTTTATGATTTCTGTTTTTTTTTAAACAGACAACCAAACAAATTAAAATTGAAAAGTGTTTTTTTTTTCAAGAAAAAAAAAGCAGCTTTTAGAGAGAGAGAAATCTATCGAAAGAGGCCCTAAATGCTTAAAGGGGCTGGTAAATAGTAGTCCGGCTCATATAAGTGTAGCCCACGGACTTAAATGAGCTTTTTTTTTTAATTATTCTGCTTAAAAAATAAAAATCCAATATTAACATAAAATTTATATGATAGTAATTTATATAAGCCTTAGATAAATTAGTAATTTACTAATCTCCGATAGGGTCCAAAATGTACAACATTTTCTAAAAGCAGCTCGATGCATCAAAGAATAGAGGAAGACAAAATAAGATACCTTCATAATCAAACTTCGAAATATATGTATTGTCAACAAATGTTCATGACAATGCTGAGTATGACGTTTGTGTTTTTCAAGGAAAGAGTTATTTGCCTAAAACAGAGATTTCCCATGCAAGTGACCATTTCTTTAATTGGTTGCTTTTCCTCAACTTCTCTTCTTACTTTTTTTTGCATTCTAATTTTTGTCGCGAAATTAACGTTTCTTTCTTGAAAGACCTTTTGTTTTGTGTCCGCGCTTTATTTTTTCCTAGAATTCGAACAATTTTGCACAAGTGATTGAAACGAAACCGTACAATTATGGAAGCGCATGCGCATTATACTGATCATAGGTCTCCCCGAGGTCCACCAATCGACTACACAGGGACTTTAATTCGGATCTATTGAGGCCCATTTCAAGGTTGGGCTTTAACTATTTAATATCATTAAGTATATAAATGAGTTAGATCGGGTTAAACTTTATTTTAAATAGATCAGATCTAAATAAAATATTTTGAGCCTGACTTTGCTTATTAATCTTGTGTAAGCTACATTATAGGCTTAGTATGACATATATTAAAAAATTAAAAGGTATATCATAAACCTATTAACTTGTTTAAGCTCATGAAATCTTCAATAACTATTAAAATTAGAAAAAAAATATAAAATATTTTTTATTGATTAAAATTATTTAAATAATTGTTTTATTTTGATTAAAATAAATAATACAATACAAATCGGTGTATAAGCTTGCAGGCCAAATTTTGTAAAAATAAACTTATGAACTATTTTCTAAACAAAATTTTTTCAAAGCTCAAATCTGATCTATTTTATTAAATATATTATGTTAAACATGGTCTGACATAGGCCATAGCATAGATTCTTAATAGCTCACCTAACTCATTTAGGTCACTAAATGTCATCAAAAAAAGAAAATTAATCATCATATTAACGAAGAAAATGATAACATTGACACTAGAAAATAATCAATACAAATGATGAGTTTTGCGACTAAGTATGCTAGTTATTATTCTATTCTGTTACCTTTTGTTTATAACTAGATAAGCACAACCAAGTAAAGAAAATATTTAAAGAATGTAACGAATATTCTTTTTAGTAGTAGTGGACTTCTATAATTAACGAATAATAAAAATGTTGTCCTCTTTATTTTTTAGTCTAAATCAAAACAATTTTTAAAAAAGCAATAGTATTTAGTTTTTTAAGAACAATCATCATTATGTAAAATAATAATAGTATAATAGTATATAGCACAGACAAATCCTATATAAGTACAGCGACACCAAACCAACAAAGTAACAAGCAAATCAATAATTTAAGTCAAACAAATTTTGGCAAGTATCTGAATTGCTAATCAGATAGCGACTTGAAATTGAAAATCTTGACCCCCACATGTCTAGTGAATTTCATTCTTGAAACCAAAACCATTTTCATTGCTCCCACAACACAATTTGTATGATAAGAGAAGTGACGATTAGGAGCATATCTCAATATTCCGGGAGTATGTACAGCGTTCCCCTTTATCAAAAGTAGGAAAAAATAAAATTTATGTAGTGTTAGGGAATAAAATAAATTATTAAAAAAGTTCTCACCCAACACTTTAAGATTTTGGATTAAAATAATATTTTATATGATATCAAAGTTTTAGTGAGCACAAGATTACGAATTCGATTCTCACTACTCCACTTGTGAAATTAAATAAGCATAAGATAAACTAAAAAAAAAAATTGGACCTAAACAATATTCATACTTCAAGTCCAAAAAGTTCTTGTACGAGGGAGATTAGAAAATAATATAAACTATTTAAAAGACTTATATCAAGTACCTTAAAATTTTAGGCTGAAATAGTTCTTTACATATAACGTTAGAATGGAAAAATCATTAGAACACTTAATTATATTAAAGAGTGATTGTTCCGTAAATAATTTGATATGAAAGATAAATATGGATTACAGATACAGATAAATAATCATTCTCCCAATTCATAATAAATACAGACATTTTAATTTTATTGATGATACATTAACCATAATTATGTTATATATTTTATATATTTAAGATACTTGATTCTTCGTAGGTGACTAAAAATGGTTGTGATTAAAGTGTAAACCTTCACTTTATCTGATTAGGTGGGTGAGTGAAAATATGTCAATATTAGTCTCTCACATGGAAAGATTAACTAAAATTATAAAAAGAATAACATGGATAAGGTAACAAAGTGACCCCACCTTATAGTTATACATATGATAAAGCTTCAATATCTATCATGATGGGGAGATTCTTGGCCGTTGGATGCGGCTATGAAGAAACGCGTTTCTTAAAATTTGACGGCAAGGAAAGCCCGAGGTTAACACAACAGCACACATGATTTCAACGTTTCTCCTTCATTTCTCTTCTCACAGACACGTATCTTTGTGTAAGCAGAAACGTTGCTTAAATGTAAATAAATATTTTTGTTTAGTAAAAATGGAAACTCTGAAGAAAAAGAAACGGCACAGTGAGCTTGGAATCCTTTGGTTGAGCTGAATCATGTGCAGACACTCTTCTTCACACTCACAATCCAAAATGTCTATAAAGTGTAGGTTGTTTTAAATTTAAGGTTTCGTTTCGATATTTTTTTTTTTTGGTTTTGGATGTCAAATGTTGTTGCCTGAATGTATTGATGATGTGGGTGCTGGTGTTTAACTTGGAATTTGGATTTACTAGGTTTCTGTTTCAGAGATACTCTTTTTGTTCTGAATTCACTGTTAGTAATGTCATGTCATGTTCGTCCCACTTTATCCATTTACTTTCAAATTCCTAATGCACTGTTTTTGGCATTACATTCAAGTCTTGATTGACATTCTCTTGTTATAGGAACAAGATCTTCATGTAATGACGTATCAAAATTATCAATTGTAATAAAACCGTTGCTGCACTGTATTCTAAAACAGGTTATAGAGCATTATGGAGTAATAAGACTTTAATACATAAAATTATCTGTCTGGTGTTGCCTAATCAGGATAAAAATTCTATCCTTTTCAAGGTATGGTGCAAAGTGCTGCAAAGATCTTGGTACATTTCCTTCTGGTTATTACAGCAGATTTGTACATTATAGGAATCAAATCAGGAGAAGGTGCTGATTGGAAACCTTATTACTACCAAATATTGCCTTATCAGTCTTCTACCTTGGTAGTTTAAATGGATGTTGCATCTCTGTGTCCAAATAGGAACACCCAAACCGACCAACATCCTTTGCTAATGGAGCAGCAAGAAACCCCTAATGGCCACATAATCAACATTACAAGGAGTGGTGAAGCTTTATCCACATTATCTCAGAATGATCATCACTCTGAAATGCATTTACCACAGAATGAAGATCTTCCAGATGGGGGCCCACAAGATTATACTCATCAGGGGTCTTCATTTTTTGCAACCAGTTTCAGCTCTAGAAATTCCTCTTTGTCGAGAAGAGGTGAGGGGTATGGTCATCATAGCAGAAGCATACCATTTAATTCTGGACTGTGGATTTCTGTTGAGCTTGTTGTCACTGTGAGTCAGATCATAGCAACTATAGTGGTTTTGTCATTGTCCAGGAATGACAATCCTCAAGCTCTGTTATTTGAATGGATTGTGGGTTATGCAGCTGGTTGTGTTGCCACACTTCCAACTATTTACTGGCGTTTTCGAAACCGTAATCAAAGCGCGGACGAAGATACCTCTCAACCATCTCAAGGATCTTCTGTAAGCAATCCTCCTGAAAGTATTTATACTGCCATCTATGTTTCTCGTGTTTCAGACGAGGAGAATGGTCATGCTACAGAATCAGCAGCAAGAAACACTAATATCCCTGGAGCCTTTACTTCTATGTATGATTTTTTTTTTCCCTTCTCATTCTTTGCTTTTTTTTTTTAAAACATGGCATTATGATATAAGTATCTCTTCTTTTTTCCACCATTGATAGAATAATGACCCTCATATTTGATATTGGATACTGCTTAACAAGGAAGAAGAATAATAGAAACCAATTTGCCATCGTAGTGTGATAGATCATACATCTACATTACGGATGACTTTCTTGCCACCTTTTTCTTTGCATTTTCTAAAACTTTTATCTGCAATTACTTGGATTAATATATATATATATATATATATATATATATATATATATATATGAGAATTTGGGTCGTTCATTGAACTTGTATATTTATTAGACTTGAATTTTTTTTTTTCGGATAAAAATTAGTCTTTGAATTTTTTTTAAACTATAATTTCAGCTGTCGTGTGCCCTTTTTTGAGCAAGCTTTATTAGTTTATTGTTTACAATCAAATAACCTTATTCCTGTAATGTACTTTTGCCCATCATAGTTTGAAATGGGATTGACATCCAATTTGAATTATATTTTCATTAATTGAAACTGTCCAATATTTAACTCCAAAGAAGGCACATGAGTTTATTTATTTGTTTTTGGTGTCTTTTTCTTTTGGGGGTGGGGGTACATGGATGATGGACTGAACAAAGGTTCCAGGGAACGGATAGGAGAAGAAGGACAACCAAATAATAGACTTTTCCACTCACTCCCACATTGGAGACACTGTAGCTGACCACTTTTTTAAAACAAGGCTCTACACTTTACCATTGGGCTAACACGGCCTGAATTAAGACATAATATTGAAATATTATCTTCATCTGCTTGTTCTGTTTTTCAATTAAAAGTTAAGGTTTATGGATTATATATAACATACATGTGGCAGCCACGGTGAAAGTGCTTTTATAAGTTTGGAGTTTTGTTATAACTTATAAGGTATAGGATGTGAAGACAGATTTTTAGTAGTGACATCTCTTTTAATGATGATGGTATAAAAACCACTCCGCATTAAATCCGATTAGGGAGAATAGAGATGAGGGCAATCTTTGTACACAATTTTACCCTTGCATATTTGCAAAAAGACTGTTTCTTGGATTCAAGTCTGTGGTTTTTCAGTCACAATGGAACAACTTTACACCTGCTCCAGGCTCGACCTCTTTTTAATGATGATTTTATGCAGTGAAAATTATCATTGCAGCAGTTAAATTATAACACCTAGTTTCCTCTGAGGTTATTGATATCCAATTAAAGTTAATATAAAACCTTATCAAATTTTATCCTTGTTTATAAATGTACTAAGTAGAGAAACTTCTTCTTAAATTACAGGCTTAATGAAACATCTTGTGAGCTTCATCTAGTACTTGGTGACTGGGGGAGAAAGGGAAACCTTAAAATATGTTGAATAACTTTATTTCCTCGTCAAGCTATTGAATGTCAAACTAAATTTGGTACAAAACTTTGACACCCAATCTGATTTTATCCATTTTTAATCAATGACTAGTGCACTAAGCTGAGAATTTTTATTTTTGTTTAATTTTTTTTTTCTTCTAAATTGCAGGCTTAGTGGATTAGCATACTGTTTCAAGATGACCTTGGATTTCTTCTTTGCAGTTTGGTTTGTAATAGGAACTGTTTGGATCTTTGGAGTTCACTCTGCTCCTTCTGATGCTCCACAATTGTATAGGTACCTGTCACAATATTTTTGCAGTACCACTATTTTGCTTCTCATTTCTCAAGTCTTTAAATAATCTGGGCTTCTTTGCGTGCAGGTTATGTATAGTGTTTCTTTCCATTAGCTGTATTAGATATGCTATGCCATTTATACTAAGTGCAAAAATTTGTTGGTGCCTACCTTGCATACTATCTGATTCGGGCTTTCCGGAGGATTTTTCTCTGAACGGAGGAGCAACAGTAGAATACATTAACACTCTACCAATCTACAAGTTCAAATTGAAAAACAATAAAAATGGTTATGATCAGGATGTCAACGCAGGTATAGATGAAGGTGGGATTTTGGCTGCAGGGACAGATAAGGAGAGGGTCATTTCAGGAGAAGATGCTGTAAGTTTTATAGGTGGTTGTATTGTTTTAAAATTATGAACTAACAGTATTTACCTTGAATCTATACTTACATTTAGCTAGTAACAAAAATGTAGAATGAATAAAAATTTATAGATATAAGTAGAACCTGAATCTAAGGATGTATGTACCTTTATAGTTATTGTTATGATATAATGAGGAGAATGCCTCAACTTTTAACTTTTGATGTAGAATTTAATTTTGGTTTCCAATAACATTGTGAAATTTGTTGCAGGTTTGTTGCATTTGCTTGGCAAAATATGCAGATGATGATGAGCTTAGGGAGTTACCCTGCTTTCACGTCTTTCACGTTTGGTGTGTTGACAAATGGTTGAAGATAAAGGGATCCTGCCCTCTTTGTAAAAGTGAAGTTGGTATAATAAGTGGTGGATGGTCACCTTGAGCTTGGGACTCCGTTCCAACCACCAATTTTACATGCATATCCACGAAGTATTATCATTTCTGCATCTGTATATCCAGCAAAATTTAATGAAAATATTTGCTTTTCTTGAATTCAAAATTTTAAAATAAGCTCAAGTTTTTTGGTAATATTCCTATTCAAAAGTTATACAAAAGTTGTTATAATATTTTCTTTTTTGCCGGTAATTAGCTTGTCTGTACAATTCTTTAAATTTCAACTTGTAACTATATTTTGTTTTATTTTTACTCACACATCTAGAAAGGGAGAACATTTTCCGTACTGAGTAGTGGGTATTACTTCCATTCAAACTGAAAGTATAGATTATGGATTCCTGAGAATATATAAGCATGGGAATATTATAGTTATTACCTTTTTTTTTTATTATCTCCTACTATTAAATTTTAATCATTAATTTCTGTCAATTTAACGATTATAATTTATTAGAAATTAATAATTAATTAATAAGTATGATTCAATAAATTATAATTATTAAATTGAAAAAAATCAACGATAAAAATTTAGTAGTAAAAGGTAGTAAGTATAACTTCTCTTAATATTAATTTTTTTTCTCACAAAAAACATGTCAGCACAGGTGTTCTCTTCTTATTGGGCAGATATACGTGCCACAGTCCACAAGTATACTAAATTTTTCCCTAAAAAAGATTGTAACTGATCTGTAATTTGAAGTCTCCATAATTAACTTGAAAAGGTTTTATCAGCTGAACTTGGCAGCAAGTAGCAACCTCTAAAACTATATAATTGCAATAAATTTTTGTAACGAAAAATAATAAATAGTTGAATATACCTTTCAATCATAAAAGAACAGTTTTACTCTGATTCATCCCCTTATTGAAAGTTCAAGCAGATAAATTGACAAAATTCAGATTTCGTAAAATAATTTATCAAAAGTTGAAAGTTGAAGTGAATAATTTATTATTTAATCTCGTTACCATTATCATAGCTTACATGAAATGAGCTTATAAATTAAGGGATTAGTGTTTTTGATGTTATAGGATAATTTTATCTTCTATATACAAATAAAAGTGTGTAATGAGCCCATTTAAGAAGAAGAAAGAGAAAAAAAAATATAGACCCCGCATAAATTTATGTATACATGGGAGATAAAATTATTTTCTACGACATGAAAAATATTAATCTCATAAATTAAATATGTAACTAATCATCCTTGAATTGAACAGAAGGTAGAAAATATATTTTTTTATACTTATGCTTAATTTAATTCATATACAAAAATTAATTTAATTCTTATAATAAAATCATTTTTAATTTGATTTACTTAAGACTATTAGAACATGAATCAGAGTTCCAAAGTAAAGAGATATTCAAAAAAAGAGTTCTAAAGTAAAGTACAAAGACCAAATTAAAAACAACTGACAAAATAAAATTATATTTTTGATTTATATACATTAGAATTTTTTATTTTTTTATTTTTTATAGCATATACATTACAATTAGTTTCAATTTATTTCTTATACTTCCGAATAAATCTATACTAATCTTAAAGAGGAAGGTTATATTTACAACCTATTTTGATTTACAACTTCTTACAACCATATCTTAACCGTTGATTTCCGTCAATCAACGATTAAGATTTTTGCAAATCAAATTCACAATAAATAACAATCATTGATTGGCAAAAATCAACGATTAAAATATGGTTGTAAGAGTTTGTAAGGAAAGAGTGTTTGTCATTTTAAATGACATAAAGTTATGTCATTTTAAGAGAGAGACAGACACAGAAATTTTTTTTATTTAAATTTTAAATTAAAAAAACTACCCACTTTTTTTCTCCCATGATTTTCATTTTTCTGTGTTTATTTCTCTCCTAAAATGACAAACACCAAACCCAAGTTTGTAAACTATTTGGATTGGAAATATAACCCCTCCTAATCTTAAAATATTTTAACTGTAATAAACATCAACAAAGTAGAAAAAAAAAATGTATACATAAAGTTTAAAACTTTTTTTTTTCTTCATATAATGACTGATTTGAAAATTAATATTCTGCATACAAACCAAAATTATATTTTAGTATTGAATAAAATTGTTCTTTTGCCTCATGTTCATAAATTAACTTATTTAATCATAACCCCTTTACAATAGTCATCTCAACCGTTGGCTCGAATTCAACCGCAGCATTTTCACGCAAAGTTATGTATGGATTCTGAAGCAAAATTTTCATAATTTTATGTTTATACATGTAAATAAGCCAACAAACATGAAAAGTACAACATGCTCTCTGTATAAATATGCTGGCCACATGCAGGACCAGAAGCTTAAAATTTCGGAAGCTCTCCTGCGACCTAAACGGTAACCTTGGACAATGACGCAAATCCATGGAGCCTACTCTAACATATCTCCGGAAAAAGGGGTGAACAATTAAAAAATTCAACCCTAGAAACATATTTGAGGTAAAGTTATACACATTTGCAAAAAGGATACAAATCAGTTTGGAGGGAGAACTCGTGCAAAGAAAATACATCCGTGGGTTGTGTCCAAATTCGACATAACCCGCACCAAAACTAGGGATGAGCCTTGCTGGGAACTGTAACCTAGTTGTGTTCAAATGCAGCTTGGTTTACCAATAATCCAAACTGGGTTAACTTACGAATCCTTTTTAGCCCGTGTTGAACTTCATCAGATGGTGAGATCTTTAAATGCCTCTAGTTTCCCATTTGACGTGACGCATTCCACATCGTGATCGCCCGCCGAATGGGTAGAAATCCCATTTTCAGTGCTCTTGCATCTCTGGTTGAGAATGGTGTTGGGAGAGGCAGAGCTGTGACAGCCCTCAAAGTATGTAGAGTAGGGGAAAAACTCAGCACATCGCACTTTCCATCCTGCAAGCAAATTTATCATTTCCAAATTTATAAAACATGAGATATGAACTCCTTTGGGGTTTTTTCCCAGACTATTCAAGATGGAAGTAGTCACGGTTCTTAGAGTATCAGTTAAGGACACCAGGTTTTCATGGCAGAATTATTATTGTAGACATAAGAGGTTCTTGTGCACTATTACCAGGTGCCCATCAATAATAACTGGCGGAAATGGAAAATTAGAGAAACAGCTCAAATTTTGGTAAAAATAATGAAAATTAAACATTAAAATTCCCGTGTGCATAAAAGAAGAAACCTAAGCTCAAAATCAAGACCTTGAAATTGCGTTATATCATGAATGGAAAAAGATTAAAAAAAATAATGCTTTTTGCAAATATATTTTATTTCCTTTATCATTTTTCCTAAAGAAAATCTTGTTCTCCTTAGAGCGATTAGTAATTTGTAAATCCCCAATAGGCATATGCACCCGAATACACATTATTCTTGGAAATCACAGGCACAATGTATACCCAATATCTCCGTCAAAAGTTCGTTATAAGCACTTGCTCATTTTTAAGGCCATCGAAGATAAAAAGATTAATCAACAGAAAATCCAAATTATACTTACTCAATGCAGCATCCTGATCAACAAGGACTGTTCCAAGAAGTTTATGAACTGCAATACAATCTTCAAGTTTCCATTCCCTGATTGGTCCGAGTGCTCCGTTTCTATCAGAACAAATTATTGCACGATTCAATATTACCATTGCTCAGACTAGAAAGCCAAAATTGGGAAAACACAAAGTCTATGAAGCACACCGCCAGAAAATACAAACACTTATATACACGGCAAACCCCAAGAATTATAAAATATGCTCTGTCCAACATTCTTTAATTTTTCATTTTTATTTAATTTCTTGATTTTTCAAAAAAATAAAATAATAATATGGCTTTTTTTGTTAATAGTCTGTTTTATTTGATCTAGCACTTATTTCCCTTTTGTCTATGGACATTTTCCTTTATTTTCGTCCATCTATCAGTCTTTTTTTTTTTAACAGTAACGAAATTTCCGAAGAAAATATATTAGAAAAAGGACAAGAGGTTCGTCATTTTGGGCAACCCGCAACCCCGTAGCAATTCAGGGGAAAACTTGCTCTTTACATTTGTCTTCATATACAAGGCCCAGAACTCCCTCACCAACTCACATTTTTGATATCTTTTGAGCAGAGGGGTGGTTGCCACTAGAAGAGATAGGCTGAAGGCAACACCATCCCTCCATTTTCTCCTCCCCTCTTCACTATCCCTTAGACAATCTAAACAAGTGTCTAAGCTAAGACAATCTACATAAGCACCAGCTAGGTGAGGCAATAAATTCCAGTAAGCTTTTTCAGTTGCAGTCAGTCAAAATGTGATTAGAAAGGTGAGCCATGTCAAGCCTGCTAGAGCTGTGAAACACAAAACTTTACTAATCCAAAACATACAGGCATGCATCACATGCATGTCAGCATTATTCAATTTGAAGACAGACACAAGGAATATCTTGTGTGGTGCTTAATAGCAGGAAGCTTGAGATGTTATAAGAATATTACCTTGGCACAGGGTTATTTGATGACTCTTCAATCAACTTGACAGCCTCAGACCTTCTGTCAGAATCCAAGATATACAAGATTTCTCCAGAAGCAGCTCTATGCATCAGAGAATCTGCGAACAAGAGGAATACAAAATAAGAAACCTTCATAATCAAGCTTGAAATTAATGTATCCTCAATAAATGTTCATGATAATGCTGAGTATGACCTTTATGCTTTTCAAGGAAAGAGTTATTTGCCTCAAACAGAGATTTCCCATGCAGCCAACTACATAAAAAGAATAACCAGAGTTTTAAAATTAAATCATAAATTGATAAAAAAAAGTACATATCAGCCACCCAAAAGACAATAAAAGGAAGGAAAAAATAAACAATTGCATTGGAGAACCTAATAGTTTGGCGCTCAGCTTCTAAGACACTCCAAATGAGTTTGTCGCTGTCAGTCACAGGAGCATTCATGTATCCCACTTTATGGAAGAACTTAATCTGCAACATATGGTCATAGAAATTAATGACAACAAAGAATCATTTTCCTCAATGGAGGAACAAATAAATGACAAAAGAGAGGGCAATATATTCTAAAAAAATGAGAAAAAAAGTTATGTTTGTTTTGGGGTGGTGGGGGGGGGGGGGGGGGGGGGGGGGGGTTGAGCGGTAATTCAAAGGAATGGTTTTCTTTTGACTATTAAATTTGTCACATGCTAAATATAAACAATTTAAAAAGATGACTTGTAGCAGTAGAATATCAGACATTACTAATGTAGTGTTTTGATATTGACAAACAATTAAAACCTAAACTTTCTAATCCCAGTAACATGAAATTGATTTGTTCTTCTACCGAAATAACATACCAAGCAACAATGAGAATCAGGGTGTTCAGCATCCAACCTCAGCAACTGCTTTACAGCCTACAAGTCAAAAGATAGAGAACAGAACACATTTAACTTGCATCATATTCTAAAATGACAGTGTAATATAACCTCAGGATATGCAAAATAAATATACAATCAATCAGCTAGAATAAGCTTAAAGTCACAACACAGAGCAACTAAACTCCTGTAATGTGCTTAAAATGTCAAGGAAGATAGCCTGAATTGTTAACCCCAATCAATTACTACATCAAAAATACCTTTATCCCAAACTAGTTGGGGTCGATAGCAGATAAACCCAAATAAAAAATTATAACCCAAATCAATTACTAGCCTGACAAAATTACTTTGCTGTGAATAAGATGCTGGACAACAAAAAAACTCTAGGCTCCTCATTTAACACATCAATACCTGGAAGGCAAGCAAAATCTTCTGTTTTCTCATGTATAATTCAAAAGAGAGAAAGTGTGTCTCCAATGAATCAGGTGAATTCTTCTGCAGCAACTTCAGGTATTTTGTGGCTTCCAACAATGGATCTTCAACCTAAGCAGGAGAAAATCGCACAGGAAGCAGGACAATATCAGTTTTAACAATTATGATATGATATATGATAACTTGATAAGCAAAGTTTGTCAGAATAATTTCCAGTAAAAGTTGCAATGAATTTTTGCTGAAACATTTCACAGTTAAAAATAGTATGTTTGACAAACCAAATACTTTAATAAACTATATTGATGTTAAGTGTTCACAGTTTGTTAATTATGACATGCACAGTAATGAAACTGTGAAAGCTGTTGTTAGTCTATTCAACATGGCCTTTTAACTGGGAAACCTAGTACATTTCATATCACTTTTATTCAAGTAAAAAAGATTACAAAAAAATCCTGAAAGAATATTGTTAGTCAAATTTACATTATGAATCTAAATTTAAATATCTTTATTTTACCAACTCATAAGTTGAGGCCTTGCAACACTATAACAAGAGAATAGTCTCTCTCTCTCTCTCTCTCACACACACACACACACACACATCCTGCCAAACCACCAGAATAGTATCCAAACATTGTTTGAGGATCAGCTTTGGAATAAATGGGAATTATTATATAATAAAGCCTCTAATGGGCCTTCACCTAACTTCATAAGTTCTTCGACATGGAAACTTTACACGTTTGAAGTCCAAAAAGCTCTTGTGTGAAGGACTACGTTAGAGACAAAATAAAGCCTTTCATGAACCTTCACAGCTTCATGTAATATCTTAAACTTTTGGGAGAGTTGGTTCTTGACAGGTTTTACTAATTTTCTACATGAATTTGCAGAGAAATTTTTTACTTTGTACACAATTAAATTTAACACAGGTGCCAGTGTTGAACATGGATTTAAAATATAAGAATCTCCATGGCGATATATGTATTGAAATTTAACCTGTGATAACTTTTCCCCACGTGGATCTGGATCAATAGGTTTCGCATGCCGTTTCCCAGACTTTGATATACTACTGGCACTTGATTCTTCATTTTTTTCTTCTGTCTCCTAAAAAGGAAATGAAACAACAGCATGAATACATTTCCAGTAAAAAGTTACACAGAATCTATAGAAATGATTAATACTTTCTTAGCTCTTGCTTCTGCCTTTCTCTGTTTTTGCCTCATTTTCTTTTTCTGAGAAGGAAGCAACTTAGATGTATCATTATCTTCCTCAGCCGTTGACTTAGGAGGAGAATCATGCAATTTTATATAACACCTGCAGCTCAAAACATTACATACATGAGTTCATAAATACAAGATCAGAAGTGATTTCCATTTGCTTATATAAATTTAGGCAAAAAAAAAAAACGTTCAGTTTCCCAATACTCTTTGCAATTCAAGTGTGGGAATAAAGCGCTTTGAACTCCATGCATGAGAACCCAATTACACAAAGGCACAACACTAACCAGCATAACAAGTCATGTAGTAAACCAATTAAAGAAAACATATATTCACCTGATAGCTCCAGCAGCTGCTTTATGAAAATATGAATGCGAATGCAATCGGTCTTGAAATTTAAGCATTTCCACATACGTACGCAATGTCATTTTCCTTAAGCAGTATGAATGAAAATCAAATTGGTCTTCAGTAATATCAGCATAGTGCTTCTCCACTGCTAAAAATTTTTTGAGAGCCAGTCCAAGATCGCCTTGACGGAAATAGCTTTCAGCAGAGGCAAGCTCATACCTTCCAAAAATGGATGTTACAATGTGTTATGAAATGAAACCACAATATCACTAAGACAGTACAGAATAATATACGTCATTAGATACATACCACATGCACTGCATGTCATGGAGGTTGTTGTGTTGATCCCCATCTTTTGTGAACAACACAGCAGTTTTTTCTGCCAAAGCCACCTGGATATCAAGGGGATAGACAACAAAAGATGAATCAGAAAAGGCAAAAGAGAAAGTTAAACAAGTTACAATGCTCAAGTGTGAATAAAATTCAAACATATAGATAGACAAAACCTGATCAGCCTGCAGCATGCGCTTAACGCATTCACTATTAACATAACGATCAGCAAGATCCATGCACCTAGCTTCTTCTGCAAATGCAGCAGCAGCAGCCAAATCACCAGCATGCTTCAGTATCCGACTCTGTTATTCAAAGACATGCAACAATCATTCAACATGTTTTTCCCGCACTATTGACTGTTAGGTCAAATCACCAGTCACCACTAATCCCAACTACATTAACTCAATTTTACCCATCTTTGGTCTCTAACAGACTTGTGATTTAATCATTTAACTTGCCTCACTTTTCTCTATAATAAATATTTCCCCTCAGATAGCAAAGAGTTTTTTGCAAAAAAATTCTACTTTATGAATCTTTGAAAGTACATGACACCACTGGAATGACTAGCGTAGATAATATATACTCTTGATGCCTTCATTGCATAGCATTTGAGTAGTATTTATGATATTATTAGATATCATGAATTTTTAATACAAAAAAATATATATATTAAACATGTTTTCTGTAAAGAACAAATTCAACTCAAAAGCTTAAGTTGTTGGGTGAAGCTACATTAATGGTTTTATATATCTCTAACACGCCCTCCCAGACACGAGAGCCCATTGGACTTAAAGTGCGGATGATGCATCAGGCTCAGCCTACCTGTGCTAAGAAACTCCCCAAGACATAATTAATTAATAATTAAATGGGAGCCAGTGAGGATCAAACTCGTAACACTGAAGCTCTGATACCATGTAAAGAACCAATTCAACCCAAAAGCTTAAGTTGTTGGGTGAGGCTACATTAATGGTTTTATATATCTCTAACATTTTCTAATACCATATTTATTTTCAATATTTAGAAATTGAATTATTGGGTAAAACATAGAATATCCTCCCTTATTATGTCTCATATTTATATTTTTTACTGAAGAAATACTGCAAATATATCATATAGCAGATGAGTCAAAAGCATTTTATTTTATTTGGTATGAAGAGCCAAAAGCATTTACCACAAACAGATAGTTTGAAGTGCCGTTCTAAACTACAAGGAGGCAAATAGCTAATTGAAACTGCTGTTTAGCCCATAGGTTTTGCAATACACACAAATTGCACGTGAGGGTCACTTGTGTAGCTAGAAGCACCAAATGCAATATTTCACCATAACTGGTCAATTGGTCATTTAAATGTCTTAGTGTTGGTCTCTGTAAATTATTTATGCTAATAGCACTTCACTAAGTTAATTAGGCAAACCACAGAATTAAGTGTCATTTATACACACTCACACACAAAAATAAATAAATAAATAAAAACAGCGTAGAAATGAAATAATGCTGAAAAAAGCAGAAAACTGATTAGAAGTATAAGCAAACCTTGACAGAATATAGATCAATGACGGTAGGTGTGTGTTCTATAGCCTCATTGATTTTAGAAAGAGAAATTTCATATTGTCCCCGCCTATCATAATGCTGCAAAGATAGAATTCAGTAAAGTGAACAAAATACAAAATAAATATGGAGAAACTCTTAAAAAATGAAAAAAAAAAAAAAAAAATCATCCAAAACATAGCCACCAACCTGAGCCAACAAGAACAAAGTCCACAAAAGAGTTGAAGGGGGCTCTTTTTCAACTCTGTATACAGGATAAACAATGGTTAGTTATCCAGTACGACAGAAAAGCTCCAAAGCATCAAAACTTCAATGTATATTATAAGGGTTTTCGCCATTGAATTGTAATGGGCTGGTATTATGCTTATACCTTCTATTTGCAAATTTTTAGCCAATTTGACTTATCCTCTCCCAAGATGCACATTCTTTCTTTTCTTTCTAAAATTATTTTCTTATTTTATAAAAAAATATAAGATGGACCCAAAATGTTCGCTATGTTTCACTAAAGAGAAGGACTAAGAGATTTGTCAAAGAGAGCATTTACGGTGAGGGACATTCTTGACAGGATGTAGAGACACTTTTTCAGTTTCTGTTAGGACCAAGGAAATTAGGGAGTTAGTTAGAATGTTATAGAATTAGTTGCAAAGTAATTATATAGTTAGTTAGGTGGTTAGAGTTATAAGAGAAGGGGCTTAGCTTAAATCGTAGGTGGGGTTAGAACAGAGGGTCATTTTGAATTGTATTATTTAGAAACTGCGCATTAGCTTGGTTGAAAAGGGGGAACCCTTTGTGAAAGTGGAAACCCTTGGAAGGAGAATTCTCTCCTTTTTCTGTGGAGATTCAATAAACCTTGCAGATTCGTTCTCTTTTCTGTGTATTTAAGCTCTCTTGCTTGTGGGTTCATAACAGTTCCTGTGGTTAAACATAAGTAATACGTCTTGGCAATATCATGCCATGCTTGAAAAAGCCACTCCTGCACCTTAATTTGTCCGGCTCAAGATCCACCACGAGATGACCCAATTAATTTCCATAATCCATATAGAACTTTTTCCATCACCAAAGAGGGGTGGGGAAGGGGGTATATTTGAGAGACAGAAAGTAGGGAATGAAGAAAATAACAAAAGGACAGAAAATTCATTGGAGTCAATGCAATACTACGCCATGATAACTGTCAGGAAATCCAACCAAGAGAAGTTTAACTTGAAGTAACAGAATATGGATGTTATTAATGAAAAATTCAGTAAATCCTCCTGAAGAAAAGCACCATCAACTCTGCATAAAACTTCCTAAGCATTCTAAATTTCAGTGAGGGAATAATGAATTCAGAAAGAGAAATCTCACATAATTTATTAACATAAGAACTAATTTAAATCACAGAAAAAAAGTTCAAAGTTTACAATCGTAAAATATGAACATCTTAATCACAACTCCTGTGTTACAACACAGATGTTAACGAGCATATCTTACCTCCCAGGGTATTGACCAGTTGTCCTAATTGAATTCTCTAACTCAAGAATGAGTTGTTCCAAAATGTCTGCCTGGAATAGTGTGAAAAAATAAAAACCCACAGTAACATTATTTTCTAACACCTTAACATACAATAATAAAACATACCAAATTATTTAAGCAGTAGAAATGTAAATAAATAAAACTGACCTTCCCAGGTTGATTGTATAAAGAAGAAAGATCAGAGAATAGAGATGGAACTCCCTACAGACAACACGAAACAAATTCCCAATTTAATTTTGAAACTAGTAGACTAGGCAGAACATCATACCAAAAAGGATTTGTACATACCTTAGTTAGGAGAGGCCTAATATAACTATCTGCTGCTTCTCGAAATCTGTCACCTTGTAGAAAATCTAGTGGTATTCTCTGGAAAAAAATAAATTAAATAATAATGTGGGATGAATTTCATTCTAAAAGATTTGGCGCTCAAACAGAGCTACTCATGTTGATAAGAGAAAAATATCATTAGAATACAAAAAATCATTTATAAAGAGCTTTCCCTGATCAAAACAAGGGGAGTTACATATAATGACTATAGAAACAAAAATTAACAGTGACTCCTTTCCAGTTAACCTGCGTTTTCCGTTACATGAGAAACAACAAAATTCCTGCCTGCTTTTTTTAGTTGGGGTTGGAGGGGCATCTGTGTGGTTTCATTTTACACAGATGATAAGGCAAAATAATAATTAAGTGATGATTCTCATACATGAAGATGAAGGCAAGCTATTAAGTAAAAGTATATATAACTACAAGAATTGACTGCAGTACCTTAACAGCAGAAGACCACTTGAATTGCTGCCCAAGTGATTTATATAAGGCGTCTAATCGATCTATTTCATCAGGAGAAAAATCGCCATTTTCTGAATATAATCCAACACATTTTTGGAGGCCTTCGTAATATCTGAGCATTGACATGAAGCACAAACAATTATTTAGCTTCTACAAGTCAGTAAGAGGGTAGACAACATAAAATACAAACAGATTAACAGAAAAGGAAGTTAAGAAAATGAAAATCATAAATGAAACAAAGATTAAGGCACCTGAACCAAAATTAGCCCATATCCTTTTAAGCTAGTGGCTAATGCAAATAGGAAACAATAATAGAGGAAGAACATAAAGAAGAAACACAGACAGACTTTGCAATTGAGACATTCAAACCTGAAATTTAAGTGGCCAGAAAGATCACCTATAATTGTCAGGATTCATGGACAGTAATCCCTGGTACAATTTCTCGCCTTCTTCTAAGCGACCAAGCTTCACTAAAAGTGAAACCTCTTGTTCTTTATATTCAAGCTTATCAACCTAAAAAGACATAGTCAAAAATGGGTAATGATATCAAGGTTCTCATGCATAACAAGTTACATTATCAAAGTACCTCAGTAAATGAAACACACATACAATTTTCAATTCTTTCTTGTGCAACTCCTCAAGTGCTCTCTCAAAAAATCCGCATTCCTCTAACAAAGAGATCTGGAAAAAGATATTTGATACAGAAAATCACCATATGAGCGCAATATTAATTTTGGCATTGGAACAAATACGAAAGACTTCATATTCCTGAACATGCAAAAGTAGAAGTTACAGCAGAAACATTCACGTTCAACAAAATAGAATTTGACCATAGACGGATATTAGCCAAAACATTTAATTACAGATACTGAGAGTTTTTCCCATTTGTCTTGCATAGAGGATAGAGGCTATCATTGGCATTTAGCAAGACTCGAGTCGAGAATGGTAAAAACCAATTCAAAAATCTATCATGTTATACCCAAATAATTAATGCAAAAGTTACATTCAAACAAAAAATATGTGAAGAGGTATAAGCAACATGCATTAAAAAGAAACAGCTATATTTACTTTAAAAAAAAAACAGCTATAGACAATAGCCAGAAGAAAGACCTTGTATAGAAGCATTTCACCATGCTCACACCGTTCATTTTCTGGAGGATAATCATCTTCTAATGTTCCTTCATATGCTTCCAGAATTTCAATAGCCTTCGATGCACTGTTTCATATTTAGAAGGTCAGCACAACATAATACCAAAAGAATAAAATTATGCCATTTCAATAACACCTATCAATAATACCAAAGCTAGGGAACTAACATGATCCAAAGCTTCACACCAGAATTGTGATTCTGTTGCAAGTCAAACAACACGGATCCAAAATCTCCACCCATGACGTTACTGGGTATGGATCAGATCCTAGATCCTATAAGAACCACCCCACCCCAAAGAAAAATTGAAAAGTATTTATCCCCTTTTTTGGAATGTTTCTACAAAAAAAAATGGAGGGGAAAGCCGAAAAAGGGTATTAGGAAATTAACTTTTTTCTTGAAACAGTAGTCATTTGACTATATGACTTGAATCATAATTTACTAGAGTCTAAAATTTTAACTTTTAGGTACATGATGAGTTATTTCACCTTGAATGTTGATATTTCACTTTTTAAATGATTGAATCATATATTGGAAGACACATTATATGCTATTTTTTAATAATGTAATGAAAATTATGATTCATAACTCGAAAATTGGCCTTCCAATTCGCAATTTGTTGACAAGTTTACAACCATATTATATATATTAGACAACAGTTAAACTTAGTCTCTTTCATTCCAAAACCACACATCATGAATATGCAAAAATCATAAATACGAGAATGTCATGAACCAACTCTCCCAAAAGTTCAAGCTATTAAGTGAAAGCTCACAAATAGTTTTACATCTGACACGCCCCTCAAGGTAGAGCCCTTTGGACTTAAAGCATGGACAATGTACAAACTCACCTATCTTGTGCTAAAATTCAACTTTTATTGAAAAGTATGGGGGATGCGAGTATCAACCTCCTAACCACTTGGTCATAGAGGCTCTAGTATCATGTCATGAATCAACTCTACTAAAAGCTTATACTAATAAGTGAAAGCTCATGAATGCTTTTTATATCTGACAGGAATTTCACAATTATCATTCATGAAAATGATAAGTTTCAAAGTTCACATATTAACTTAGAAACAAGTTCAGAGTTCAAGACCGTTTCTCTATGGACCCCATTATGATGCAAAGGAAGGAAAGGATTAAGGTGTCTTGAAGTTTTTGGATCATTAGGGCCTACTATGTAGCCAAAAAAATCCTTGCAAAGAACCACATAGCAGCCAATTATATTATCTCAAAAGCATCAACAACTTAAACAGTAGAAACCTTGGCAAACTAAAGATGATAGTCCTTAGCTCAAATACTATTCAGTATAAAGGCAGCTCAAGCTGTCATTACTCATTAGGAAAAACCATTTAATTCAATATAAACAAAAATCATACTTAGAGTTCAAATGATGTGCAACAGCAAAGCCAATCCAGTTCATGCGATGATTTGACTTGAGAGTCAGAAGTTGTTGTCTTGTCTCAACAAAGCCAGTTAAATCTCGCATTTGAGCCTGTCAATGAGACAAAAAAGCACATATACATGAGTAACACAAATACATTTTAGAAAAATTCGCTGAGTGTTTGTATGTGTGTATGATGAAAACTGATACACAGCCCAATATCCCCGCAAAACATTTCTTTACTCCAGACTCCAGTATATGGTGAAGGCATCCCCTCCCATGATGTGGCTTTTGGTTATGCATTGGACAATTCCAGATGGGAAGAGACTGGAGAGGGATTTTTCTTTCACCTTTATTGTTAATCCAGCAAAAGTTTAATGACACAAATAATTCTAGAAATACAGCATAAGAGCTTTATCTTGAATTTGAAAAGGCGACAGAAGGGCAGTAGCATTCTGATTTCTGACTCAAGCACCTATGAACTTCACCTAGAGTCATAAATAAACTTAGAAAGGATATTACAGTATCACAAAAGGAAGTACCATTACTAGCAACCATGGTAAGTTAAGGACAAGGTTCATAATAAATTTTCCTCCATATCAAACAGACAAAAACACCAACATGAAGCAACTTGTTTATGTTCAGTAAATGCCATAGATCATGTCAGTATAGGAAAACTAACATTGAAGTTAAAGCCAAAGCAGAGAGAGAGAGATTGTGAAGCATTCTCCTGCTAAAATAAAGCAAATAGAAGCAAAAGGTATTAAGATGCTACCTGTAAAAGTGATAGGTCACGTAAGATTTCAATATTGTCAGAATCTATTTTCATTGCATTTCGATAGCACTTGATTGCTTCCCTATATTCTCTGTCTGACCGATAAAGGAGACCATAAACATGCCAGCAAACATGACTTTTAAGGTCATTCTGCACCAAAACAAAAATTAAGCTTGGTTCAGCTGATAACCATTGATTTGAAGATTGATGAATGGTGTGAAATCAACGCACCTTAAGTCCTTGGCGAACCAATTCATATGCTTCAGACTTACGATCCATGCAATTTAATGTCAAACCCTTCATCGATAAAGTTTCTATCAACCAGAAGGGGGAACAGACTCATAAATAAGAAAAATGCCCAAAGAAACAAAATATTAAGAGATGGAGAGAGAATAACTTTTGTGCTAAAAAAAATAACAAATCATTTTTTATGCTACTAACTTAGACAAATAAGATGGAAATAAAATATTCCCGGACGAGGAATGAAAAGCATGGAAAAACAAGCACAAAAAAAGTATACCTCCGTGATCTGGAAATTTTTTCAAAATAGCATCAGCAGCTTTGAGGCCCTTTTTGTATTGTTTGGTTTCATAGGATTTCTGCAGCAACACAAACAAGGAAAATTAAGCCCCACATGATTAAAATTTCTTACAGTCCCCATGGCACCAAAAGTATTTTACTTACTCATAACTTCCCAATAACCAAGATGATTAAAATTTAAATACATAAGGTTGTAAGCATACATTTGCTTATTCACGTTGACAAAAGTAAACCCCAAAACATGGCCATTAGAAGGAATCCCAAGGGGATAACTGAAAGTTAGATCATATAACGTAACTATTTATCTCCAGAAACGGAACCCATACCAACAACTGCAACAAGTAGGAACAAGAACAATGCCCAAGATATTCAAATCAAGGAATTCACTCCAAGTACTTTCTTCTTTCCGTTTTATCCCCTACTATTTCAGAAATTATTATCTACATTCATTACATTGAAGGGCCAAATGATTAAGTCAGATTGCCTGCGCACACATTGATAACAAGAAGAAAATCCACACTCCTGGTTAGAAAATTCAAATTTCCTTCCTGCTTCCTATAGTTGCACCAAAAAATATACAGAATGCAATAAACTCAAACTTCAGAGTTCGGAAATTTTCAAACCCGCCCTAACTCCCACCTGAAACTCAACGGTTGACTTCACAAATCACAAAATAACGCAAAAACGATATAATTAAAACTGAACGGCTCGAATTTTCATTTTTATCAACTTTTTACCAGATTATAAGCAAGCAAAAAAAAACAATAAGGAAGTTCTTAGAATAAGAACAGAATCTAGGGTTTTAATATGAAGAAGTAATAGAGGAAGCAGAAGAAAGTGATTGAAGTTGGATCGAGCGAGGAGCAGCAAGCGTATAATTAAAGAGAGAGAAAAGAGAGATAGAGAGAGAGAATCGAAGCTTACAACAATAAGCTTGAAGAGGTTGGCCTCCTTGGGTGGAAGAGAAGCACCCATTGTTGCAGAAACAGAGGAGAGAGAAAGTGAGTTGGGGGTTTATAGGAGAGAGAAACAGAAAGGATGGTGAGGTAAAAGATACGGAAAGGGTTCTGGATTGCGTCTTATGAACTGCAGTGCAACCCTACTATCACAAACAAGCAAGGAAGGAACGAGTACGTGCTCTTTGCCTCTAAAAGTATACGGTGAATTATACGGGGTATTTTGAATTTAACAAAAATACTTTAAAATATAAAATTGTAATAAATGTATGCATGATTAATTTTGATAAAATATTATTTTTTGTTGGGACGTATCAAACAAAAATACTTAAAAATATAAAAATGTACTAAATGTATGCATGATTAAATTTGATAAAATGTTATTTTTCATTGGGACGTATCTTATGTAGTGACACGTTGCATCAGATCTCCCGGTATAGCAAAAAATGGGTTAGGGCTCTTGCCATAAGGCAAGGAGCTGCATCGAATCTCGGGTGTAGTGATAAATGAGCTAGGATTCTTCTCCCAAGGCAAGACGCCACATCTTCACCCGGATTTGGTGACAGGAGATGTTCATCCACCGATGCATACTGCAGTGATCGAACCGAAAACCAAAAATTGAAAAAAAAAATCCACATATTTTAATTGGATTGGATCAGTTTTCGATTTTGTTATTGAAAACGAATCCAATGTATAATATTTATTTATTATTTTTGAAAGATGGTAGCTTGGAATCTTGTTATTTTGTAAACTTGAATCTTGGATGTTATTGATAACAAACTATCTTGTTTTAATTTTTTATTGTCTATTAATCTATTTTAACTCTTCATGAGTTTTAAAACTTATTTTAATTTGAAGACTTGAATTTCTGAGTAGTTTGTAACTTTGTATCGCTTTATTTTGATATAGTTAATGATCTGTAGGATTGAAATTTTAGATTTTTTGAAAAATTGAAAACTGATTCAATCCAGACTGAATAAAATTGGATCTGATTTTCAAAAAATTCAAACCAAAGAAATTGGATAGGGTGATTTTTTGCTTCAAAATCGATCTAATCCAGACCGCAAACACCCCTAACAAGTAGGTCAAAGTCCAAACACGCAGATGGGCGAGCGTGGTAGGCAAGTAAAGCCCAGGGATTAAGGATGCGATGAGGAAGCTAGAATATAGGAACTTTAACAAGTAAATTGGAAGAGTTAACAAATATTTTTTCTAGAATGAAATTGAATGTTGTTTGCTTGCAAGAAATTAAGTAGGTTGGAGAAAAAGCTAAGAAAGTGGAAGGCACCGACTTCAAGTTGTGGTACACAGGTATAAACAATAATAGAAATGGTGTCGAGATCATGATCAATAGAAGTTTCAGAGATAAAGTTGTTGACGCCAAAAGGAAAGGTGACAGGATAATACTAGTTAAACTTGTAGTGGGTGATTTAATTTTAAATATCCTTAGTGTGTATGCCCCTAAAGTTGCATTGCAATTAAACGATAAGAACCAATTATGGGAAGATTTTGAGGAGGTTTTGAGGGGGATATCACGATAGGAGAAGATTTTCTTAGAAGGAGAATTAAATGGTCGTGTTGGTAGAAGCAGTGGAGGTTTTGATAGAATCCGTGGAGGTTTTGGCTATGGGACGATAAATGAAGCTGAAGAAGATAGCTTGAACGTTGCACTTGCCTATGATTTGATGCTAGCGAACACCTTTTTTTCGAAAAAAGGAGTCCAATCTAATCACTTATCATAATGGCCAAAATTGTAGTCATATTGATTTTTTTATGGCTAGAAGAGAAGATAGAACCTGTTGTGTTGATTGTAAGGTCTGCCCTGAAGAGTGTGTCACTAAATTACACAATTTGATAGTTCTAAAGGTTTGGTTCAACAAAGTACTTAAAATGCGGAAGAGTGCTCAAAACCCAAGGATAAGATGGTGGGAGTTAAAGGAGGAAAAACAAATAGAGTTCAAGGAAATAATGCTTCATAAAGAACCATGGGAGTTTGATGTAGGAACAAATGAAATATGGAATAAGATGGCTATGTGTATCCAAAATATGGGAATGAGGGTGTTGGGAGAAAGTAAAGGAAAAGGATTTCAAACAAGGGAAACATAATGGTGGAATGGAGCGGCGTATAAGGCAATTAAATAGAAGAAGAAATGCTTTAGATGTTTGAATAAAAGTCCCAATGATGAAAACTTACAAAAGTTTAGATTGACGAGAAAAAATGCAAAGAAAGTCGTGCAATAAGCTAGATGCAAGGTTTTTGTCGATTTGTATAAAAATCTCGAGAGCAAGGATGGTGAAAAAGATATATATAAACTTACAAAAATGAGGAATAAGAAAAGTAAAGACCTTACTCAGATTAGATGCATCAAGGGTGAAAATAAAAAACTTTTGGCAAGAGACACACAGGTAAAAGAAAGGTGGATGAATTATTTTAACAAGCTTTTTAATGGGAATGGTGATAAAATATAGGTGGACTTGGAGGACGCTTATGATGATTTGAATAAAAGATTTGCGCGCAGAATCAATGCATATGAAGTTAAGGAGGCTTTAAAGAGGATGAAGACTATTGAAGCTTTGGGACTCAATGGTGTCCTTATTGAAGTGTGGAGAGGCCTAAGGGATGTCGAAATAAAATAGCTTACCAATCTTTTCAATAAGATTCTTCAAACAAATAAGATGTTTGATGCTTGAAGAAAAAGTATGCTTGTGTCTATTTACAAAAACAAGAGAGATATTTAGAATTGTTCTAACTATAGATGCATTAAGCTTATGAGCCATGCCATAAAATTATGGGAGAGAGTTATTGAACATCGCTTCAGGAGAGCGATAAAGGTCTCTGTAAATCAATTTGGATTTATGCCAATAAGATGTACCATGAAGCAATTTTCTTGATGCAACAATTAATGGAAAATGTCGAGAAAAGAAGAAGGACTTGCATATAGTGTTTATTGATCTGGAGAAGGCATACGATAGAGTTTCTAGAAAAGTTTTATGATGGGTTCTTGAGAAGAAAAAAGTACCATCAGAGTATGTAGATGAAATCAAAGATATGTATGATGGTGCTACTACATGTGTGAAAGCTTGTAATGGAACATCGAGTTATTTCCCTATCATGGTAGATGTACATCAAGGTTCGGCTCTGAGCCCTTGTCTTTTTGTTGTAGTTGTAGATGAACTAACAAAAGATATTCAAAAGTAAGTGCCACGATGTATGCTTTTTGCAGATGATATTGTGCTTATTGATGAGACCTAGGCCGATGTTAATAGAAAACTTGAATTATGGAGAAACATATTAGAGTATAAAGGATTCACGTCAAGCCAGAGCAAGACTGAATATATGAATTGTGAGTTTTCTACAGTAAGAGATAGAGATGCTTTTAGATATCTGGAATCAATTTTGCAAAAAGGTGGAAAGATTGATTGGGATGTAAATAATAGAATCAGAGAAGGGTAAAAGAAATGGCGTAGTGCATATAGAGTTTTGTGTGACTGCAAAATTTCCCTTGAGTTAAAAAGAAATTTCTATAGAGCAACACTAAGACCTGCAATGTTATATTGATCTAAATGTTGGCTAGCACATAGACAACGTGAACATAAAGTGGGAGTAGCAAAAATAAGAATGTTAAGGTAGATGTGTGGTTATATGAGGACGGATAAGATTATAAACAAAGACATTCGACGAAATGTAGGAGTAGTATCAGTGGCTGAAAAGATGAGAGAACATAGATTGAGGTGGTTTGGACACATAATGAGGAGTCCCTTTATGCTCTTGTAAGAACAAAAGTTTGCTACCAAGAGATCGACTAAGAGAGGTAGAGGTAAACCGAAACTTACTTGGGAGCAGTGACGGAGCCAGGCTCAAATTTGAGCCCGGGCCAAAAAATTATACATGTATTTATTTTTCTTAATTTTAATTAGTTCATATCACAATATATTTAAATTGGGAAAGGATCCGTTTACAAACATTTTTTAATTTTTTTTGCAAATTATATATACTCCCGGAAGTACAAAGTATAACTTTTCTGGGAGTACATAGTGTAGTTTGTAAACAAAAAGTTTGTAAATATAACCCTCTCCATTTAAATTATATTAAACACAGAGCACCTGAGCAGCAGTACCAAGAAGAATTATAATTTTATTATATTTTTTTTAATTTTACTATTTTTTTCCTTATACAAGTAGAAATTGAACACATAACCTAATACAACTTACCCAAATCTTTTACTAAAAATATTTTAAGTTTTAGATAGGGTCAAATTAAAAATTGTAATCGGGCAAAATTATAATTTTAACATGGACTAAATTATAATTAATTATATAATTATATAAAATAATTATAATTTGTTAAAATTTAGCCCGAGCCGAGGCCACACCCAGAAGATATGTGGCTCCGCCACTGCTTGGGAGAAGATAGTAAAACAAGACTTAATGAAGTGAGATATAGATTGATGGATGATATGTCTTAGGATGAAATGGAGAAAAGTTATAAGCATAGAAAAAGGTTAGACCCGTTATTATTCTATATTCCAGATGAACCATTTTTAGTTATTTTTCTTTTCATCTCCCTCTCTCTCTTTTTCTATTTTCTTTGTTTTCTTTTCCTTATTTTTCCCTTTCCCATATTTCGTTCTCTTACTTTTTTTTTCTTCTATAACCCTTTTATTTTTATTTTTTATTTCTTACCCTCTCACTATTTGTTGTCATCCTATATATCATTATCTTTAGTTTATTTTAATATACTTTACCTTCTAATTTTATCCTGCTTTCTATATATACACTTAAATTTAATTTTTATCTTATTTTTTTTCAATATATGCGTATCTTTCATTTGGATTCATTTATTATCTGTCCAACTAGTTTGGGATAAAAGTATTGTTGATGTTGTAAATAAAAATTATATAATAAAAAGGAAATATGCACATAACTAATTTAAATGAATTTCATTTTAATTTTTAAAATTAAAAAAAGAGAATAAAATTCTTTAAGGAAAAAATAAAAGTTGTGCTACTATTGATGGCTTTCTTTAAGAAGCTCAAAATTATCCCACCAAAAGGCTGAATTCTCAATTTAACTTTGTGTTTGATATGAAGATTTGGAAAAACCTCTTTTAGTTGATGGAAATTTGTTCATCTGTTAGGAATTGAAACAAAACTTGTGGTATGCTGGGTCGGAGCAGATATGTAGTGGTCCAGGACCATTGGTCTCCCATAGAGAGAAAGGGGAGGAGAGAGGAAGAAAGAGGAGAGAGAGGGACCGGGAAATTTATTTCCCCGATGTTGCCAAAAGAAGAAGAGAGTAAAATGGGTTTAAATGAATTGATTTATTTTTGGAAATTTTTATTTGATAAGTAATTTTGATATGATGAATATTGTCTGAATAGTGTTGATAAAAATCAATTTTAAATGTATAATTACAAAAAGAAGATATGGGTTTTTCTTTTGGGTTAGATTAAAAAAAATTAATGTTAAAAAATTAACTGCAAATAAATTTATGGTGAAAAAACTTCTCTTAAAATTTAAGTTTGTTTGAGTTTTGTAAAATAAAATTTCTTTTAGAGTATGACTTAAATTAAAAGACTATTAGATTTTATTTATTTAAATATTATTAAAATAGTGATATAATATTAATTTAAAAGAATAATTCTGATAATATACATGTAAAATGTTATTTTCACGTTTAAGGGATTGGAATCAAGTTCGAAGCTTGTATCCATTTGGGTTGTTTTAACAAGCAAGTGGTATCTCCTGACTCCTATATCATGTGAAACATTTTTCCAAAAGTCACGGCATGCTACAGCCTACAAGTATCAACATAATTTATAATAATACTTACAAATAAGTTACCAACAAATCAAATTCCATACTAACAAACGATAATAAAAAAAAAGGATATTAAAAAAAAAAAAATACAAAACCTCTGGTAAACGCAATTCCATTTAACTAGTTGAACCAGCTCTCATTCATTGGCATCAAGATCATTGTTCTATTAAACTTTCTCGGCCCACAAGAAAAAATCACATTTGCGAAAGTAACGCTGCTCTAGCTTCCCTGTTTGTTTCTAAACAGTCAACTACGACAGGTATTCCATAGGCATTAAGTGGCAGTGTTCAAGTCTACCCATTTTTAAATTTGGGCCGTAATTGTGTAGGCAAAAATTGATCCAGAAAAATTCATGTCGTATTGATCTACATAATAAATAACAATTTGGGGTTGATAGATTAGTGTGTAATGTTATGTCAACTCACCTAATAAACGACACACTATGAGTATGCAAGTTATTCATGTCGTGTCATGTCAACCTGTAAAATAAACGGATCGTGTTCGTGTCAAAAATTTTAACCCGATTTCAAATTCGTGTCGTGTTAAATACATTCATATTCGTATTGAATTCGTTTCGTGTAGTATCGGTCGGAATTACAACCTCTAGCCACTAACTTTTTCAAGCAAAATGTAGTTACATCTAGCCTATTAAAATTGGTCCGATGATGAGAGATTTGGATAATCCGTAATTTGCATGAGGTCAATTATAATTTTACATACAATAAAAAAATCACTCTCCATTAAATCCGACTAGCAAGTGTGGGATGAATGCAATTGTTGTACTCAGTCTTATCCTTACATAATTTCAAAGATGTTGTTTTCCGGATTCAAATTCATGACCTTACAGTCATGAAAGAACAACTTTACCAGTGCTCCAGTTCACCCACTTATAATTTTACATACAATGATGACAAAAGAAGAAGAAGTAAATTCATGTGCCCCTTCCGACACTTTTAAGTAATATGCATGGAAGCAACAAAACATGCTTGAGATCTAAGGCTGACAAAGACCGTTTGAAGAAATGAATTTCAGAAAGAGAGGTCATCCTTTCTAATATATTACCGTAGAAAGATAAAATGAAAGTCTAGGTAAACCAAAATGACAGCTTTTCATCCCAAAAGAAACAAGTTCAATCAGCATTCACAGATGTTAGAGGACAAAGTCTTATATGCAAGGTCTATTTCTTGTTCCGTCATCTCGATCGTGTCATCACTGTCATATTCAATTGCATCAGAAGATACGGCATTTGTTCTTCCAGTTTTGCTCCTCTGTTCTCCATTTAACTTTGAATTCTTTTTCCATTCAAGCTCTAAACTATTTAGTTCCACCTCATAAATACGTTTACAATCCAGAGCCTGTTTGTGAAGATCTTCCTTTGACACTGAGGCCATATTGTTTCCTACTTCATCCAACTTTGCAAGCTCTTCAACAACACGGGGTAAGCATTTCCAGTCCTCAGTTCCTTTCCGAATGTCCTGGTTGAAGTTAATAAGACAAGCACAATCAGCAGTCATATCATATATTTGATTTAAGGGTTCATCTAATCTCATGTTACATGAGAAAATATATCTTATGTTGTAGAGACACATGTGGTGGGACCCACTATTTACAAAAAAAGAAAAAAAAAGAAAAAAAGAGTATCACCATTTTCGATGGATCTACAGGAGATAAACTACTCTTATGTTGCATAAGAGTAGTTTTTTCCTTGATTTAATCCTCAAGATAACGGCACTGCACTGGAACTAAAAGTAAGAATACCCATGATTGCACAGAATTCAGACATCTGTGTTAGGCCCAATATAATGGAAGATATAAAAATTACTAAAACTAAAGAATCAATTCAACAAGTGTAAATGCAAATTGTTAGTGGCTATAGACGTATGTCATTCAGTGTGCTGACTCAATAAAATCATCAGCCAATTCTTATCAAAGTGAAATTAGTCAGCATTGTTGGGTATTATATATTGTTCCTAGGACCATAAAAAAAGTACAAAGGTCGCAGAGAAAACTTAGGAACAAAAAGAGTTGGGACGGAAAGGATTAAAAAATAGAAAATACTAAGTAGTACTGGTGTTAATGCGAATGGTTACGGTTTGTAATGTTTCCCAGTTAGCGGGCTCATAAGATAGGCAAACAGCAATGAATTTTCAAATAACAATCAGTTGCCTTTGAAATAAGTCTTACAATGTATACCAGTGATCCCTGTCTTACTTAAATGGTTGTAAAAAGTACCCTCTAAGAATGTACCCAAAAAATAAAAAGTACCCTCTGAGAAAATTCAACTGAGTATTTGAATGATAACATAACTCTGTGCTCTTGATCTATCAGTCAGACACTGATTACTCTGACAAGGAATTTAAAGAAAGGACTGCATAAAAAATCAAAATCTATATGCAGGGGGAAATTTTACGCATACTAGCATTCCCCAGAGAAAGAAAATACCAGAAAAAGTTGCTTCCTAACTCATAAGAGTGACAAACAGTTGTCTATGTGTGCTTTACCTGCTTTTCCTCGAGAGAACATATTACATCTTGCAAACAAGTTAGAATCCCCTCTGCAGCTATTTTTGCTATCTCACTCGGATCTGGCTGAAATGGTTAACATAAAATTTAGATTCATATAAAATATCAGAGATGTAATATAAAATCATTGGTTTGTCTACATCTAATAGCTTAAACTCCTGAGAGAGTTAGTTTATGACATGGTATTAGAGCTTGTATGATCAAGTGATATAAAGTTCGATTCTCACTGCACCCGTTCTTAAAATAAAAAGTTGAATTTCAATACAAAGTAGGTAGTTTTGTGCATTATCCACGCTTCAAGCTAAAGACTCTTGCGTAAGGGGACATGTTAACAATTTAAGTATTTGAGGTAATTGGTTTATAACGGAAGGTATAACTATTAACCTTAAGTACACCTAACTAGAGCAACAAATAGCTGCAACTTTCAAGCATTTACTATTATAAGTGAGTGAGCATGAAATACTAAGCTTCTGAAATGAATAAATTTGGTTCCAATGCAAACTTCACTTTCAGCTGTTTAGTCTGATTCTATGCAACTTACTAGATGCTTAATAGAAAGTCATGACCTCTAGAATGATCTAAAACAGTTATTTATACCGGACATGGAAGATTACCTTTTCTTCTTGACTTTCCAGCCACTGAATTGTTTTGTTCAAATCATCAACGGCCCACTTCTTCACTTCAGAAGGCTCAAAGCATTTCCTAGCAACATCAGTGTCTTTTCCCTGGAATATTCAGCAAACATAAAACTCTATAACAAATTTAATTGTTTGCAGATAAAATAAAGGTTATTCAAACCCATTATACTCAAATCAAGTATAGTAAAATATAAAACATCTTGTCAGCCTTTACCTTAGATTTTAAGGACGCAGTTGGCTTTGAAGGCAGTTCTCTTTCAACTGGCTTTGGTGATTTTTTGGGTACAGATGGTTTGTGATCTGCATTCACCCATAGAATTCACAAGAACTGATTAGATGTGAAATTGGAAGGACATAACGGTGTGGGAGTGGTGGGGCTAGGATTTCGGCAAGAACATCATAAGGACATGTGGTATAACACATTTAGGCTATTAGCTTCACCATTATATTGTTGCACCTATTTATATATACTTCCAGTGAAGGATATTGATGTAAAGAAGGCTTTTAAGAAACAAGAGTTTTGAGTATTTTCAGAAATAACTATAGATACTATCAATATACTGGAGCAAATTTAGAAAGTGGAATAAAATAGCCAATAGATAATAGCGGTATCTCTCGTGAAATTGCAATTTTATCACAAAAACATATCATTTTTATTTTTCTATTTATTTTCCAGAAAAAAAGAGAGAAGAATTTGAAATGTAAGATAAAAGAGACAAGAAACCGGAACCACACAACTTTAATTGACTTTTCTAAAGCTCTAATATTATGTGAGAAGTTACAAACAAGATGAATGTGGCAATCAGTATAGCACACATTAGATGCCAGAAAGAGCTCTAACTTTAGGTCCTATCCTACTTACTAGTATATACACACAATTATATCACCTTCATTGACTTCATGTGATCTATTTCCTTTACGCCATGGTTTCCCAGCATGCATAAAGTAATTTTCAATTTCAATCAGCTTCCTCTGGTTGTAACACTCTACTATCCAATCCTAAAACCCAAAAAGAAGAAAAGAAAGGATGCATCATGTTACATTAGGTTAGACCATAATTCACAAAATATATAGAAAATGATACAACCAAGAATCTGCATTAAAAAAAAAGAAGTGGTAAAGCTACCAAGACTAGTAAGAAAATGCATGGCCTGGGTTATGTGATAAATAGCATTCTCATTATCAAAGTACTTCGATCAGCACACTACATAAAAATCCCATTCAAATAGACACAGCAAAGAAACGCCTACAATCTTTAAACATTGTAATGGAGTCTAACATGATACAAGGAATTAAACAAGGAATCCTATTGAGTAGTATCATTTCCTTGAGCAAAAAATCCAATGTCTGAGTGTCAACCATGCCAAAACATACCCAATTTGCTTCATCCAGAAAAGAAAACCATTAGGTCTCTGCTAACCTCTAACCACCACCACAAATTAAGGATAGTAGTAGTACAGCAATTGATACTGAGTTTCACATAGAGCTCAAAGATCGAAATAAAGGCTTACAAAGAAAATTATTCCACAAACGAAGAAGAATGACTTTGAACACAAAGATTCCCTTGTATCTTCTCGGCTATTAGCTGGTTCAAGACAATAGTTTCAATTTTAATTCCATGTGCTTGTCAACAATGGATCAAACCAGAGACCTTGTTTTTTTGATAAATAATTGAGTTATAAACTCTGAACATGAGACATAAATAAAATCACAACTACAACAATGTTCTTATGTATTCCACAAGTTGGGAGAATACCACAGAATTCCTGAGGAGAATCAGACAGAGATTCTTGAGGAGTTCATCCTCTTCAAGAATGAATGTACAAAGAAATCATTCACATGTAAACAAAACAAGAAAAAAAGAAGGAAAACCTTTGACACAATGGTTCCACAATCAGCTTCAACTTGTCGAAACTTAGGGGTATTAGGAAATGCACAAATCAAGAGAGTGCAATCGGAGTTCCAGTCAGGTTGATACTCTGCTCCCATTTCCATGGCTCGTGACCTCAACATGCCACGTTCAGGATTGACAAAGCCAGACAACACAAAAACCACACCTTCCTGTTCAGAAACCAGTTGAACAAGGAGTTAATGAGCTTAATCAACAACAATGCAAGCAAAGACAAAAACCACGAGGGCTCCTTAATTGTTCATTATTAATCAAGTACCAGAAGCTTGTTGAAGCTTTTAGATTCCAAACTAGAGGCAGAAGATTTTCCACCACTTTCAGTTTGAACTTTGCTTTTCTTGGCTGTCTCAATTTCACTGGATTTCTCACCTTCACCATCCAAAGTTGGTTTCTTTACACAACTTTCATCCTGATTCTCCTTTGAACTCATCCATGATGGTAGGTTTCGCTTGGAACCTTTGTTATTAGCACTTCTTTTGATATCAGACATTGCAAGAACTACATAGAGGATGCCAAAGTACAAAATTTGAAAAACACCCAAGTTTCAGTAATTCGCGAATTGTTCCAAAATTTCATCAATCAAGACATGCATGATAATTTGAAAATAGCTTGGAATGTCCCTATTGAGATGAACAATATAAATATAAATATAAATTGGCAGGGAAGTTAATTAAATAAATAGAAGAAAAACAACCTCTTTGGTTCTTCCTCTTTCCTTTGTTATGAAATAATGGAATGATTTCGCTTCCGTTTTGCTGCCACAGTTACGTGCTTAATTCCTGAAACCAAACAACGGTCGATCCGTTAAAATCATTAAAGAAAAATTAAAATTTCTAATGGAACGTTCAGCGGTGGACGTGCCGGAGTGGTTATCGGGCATGACTAGAAATCATGTGGGCTCTGCCCGCGCAGGTTCGAATCCTGCCGTTCACGGTTTTATTTTGTGATTTTTTTTTCCTAAAAGAATTCTCGATAAAAAATTTAGGGCCAGTTTGGATGATTTTTTTTTCTTCAGAAGTTGCTTTTTTTTTTGTTGAAAAAAAGCACTTTTCATTTTTAATTCATTTGGATGTCTGCTTTAAAAAAAAACAGAAGTCATAAAAAAAGTCAAAAACTTACTTTTTTCTGAAGCTAAAATTTTAACTTCTAAAAAGTCAAAAGTCAAATATTTTTTTCAAAATCTAAATATTTTTATAAAAATATAAATAGCTATAACTTTTGTAAAAAAGTCTTCTAAAATAAAAAAAGAGGATAAAAATTACTTTTTTTTAAATTGCAAACAAACGGGCACTTATACGCTTACCTGAAATGAAGCAAGAAAGAAATATGCTTATGTACAGTTTAGACATATATAATTAGTGGCCATTTTTAACTTATTTAGTAAGTGAGCAAACATTGAAAACAAAATCAATGATTTCTCTTAAATAATTTCTTAAAATTATCTCTTATAATATAAAAATATTAATTTTTTTTAATATTGAGGAGTGTTATACAAAAATAAATAAATATTGAAGAGTCAGTATATTATTATTAAAATTAAAAAAAAACATATTTCACCTATCTTTTATAATTAAAAACAATTCTATTTTTTCTATTTTAATTATAAAAAGCTTATTTTTTTAATTTTTTTTTTGGATTACTAAAAAAGCTTATTTTTTATATGTTCTTACTCGACTCAAATTAATAAAGAGGAAAGTGTTTGTCCTTTTAAATGACACAACTTATATCCTTTCACTCTCATAAAAAGGTGGAACTCTCACTTTTATATTTTTCTGTCCACTCTCTCTCCTCTTTTATCTATCTTTTTCTCTCACTTAAAATGACATAAGTTTATATCCTTTAAAATGATACATATTTTTTCCATTAATAAATGATGAGTTGATAAATAATATTTGAAAAATCAATATGCTTTTGGCGAGGGCCTATACGAGCTGAACATGCATGAAAATTCATAAATCACAAGACCAATGTTGTAAAACTCGAGTTTCTACGTAAAAACAGAAAGGGGTGGTAGAAATGTAAAACGTAGAAACGACACGAAACGTAAAGTTTCTACCTTCTATCACTTAAGGTCAAGATATAAAATTATATATATACATGTTAAAAAAATATCACATAATGAACATGTGTGTTGAGCCACTTATCTATCTAAAAAGAAAAATTATTTTTCATAACCAAGTATCAAAATTATAAACAGTGATAATTAACAAGTAATGGATAACAAATATGCTCTAACTGCTTTATACACTCTGCAAATTTTGGATTATCGCTCATCAAGATATAATTTCACTTCTTTCAATGCACACAATAATCCAAAAACATAAAACAATTCTCATAGCATAACTTATAATAGAATTGCAGCTTTATAAGACATAATAAACATATATCCAAACAAAAAGATATTAAGATACTCTGAATATGATTTGGGGAAAACGAAAATTAGGTTTTTATTTTTTTGTAATTTTTTTTTAATTAAATTTTTAGTTTTAAGTAAAAGCGGTCAAAACGATAAAAACATAAGTTTTTACGTTTTTATGAGGCGTTTCTATCAGTTTTTACCTAAGACAGTTCCTACTTGAGTTTTAACACGCACCACTCTAGTAAAAACACTAGTTTTTGACAACAATGCATAAGACTATAAACTGACAGTTTGGAATTAAATCTTCTCCTCATCGAAAATTTTGTATAAAAATAAAATAAAACTAAAATTAAATGAGAAAAATAAAAAATAAAAAATTATAGGGCAAAGAAAACGAGCGAGGAGGAGCTCCCGCTCAAGTTATTCATGTTTAATTTTGAATTGAAATAAACAAAAAGATAAACAGTAAAGGAAGGAACCACATATCTAGGGTTTTGTCGTCGGAATCTGTGATCTCTGAACTGAGACAGTTATGCCGTGTGAAATGTAAATGGAGAAGGAAGGTGAGCGCTGTGATGGCGTAGTTGATCCTCTCGCTGACTATTGGGGGCTTTCCCTCTTTCCTTCAAAATCTGGTTCTGGTGTCCCATCCTCCGAACCTTACAACCCGGACCACGATCTTGACGCCATTCACAACCATCTCAGATCTATGGTATTCAATTCCTTCGAGCTCTTTTTTTCTTTTTTCTTGTTTCTGAATTTCAGGTTTCAACATTTTGATGCATAACTAAATAAACGTCGAAAATACGGTCTTCAAAATTTGAATTCGATGTTTCCTTTACTTTTCTCTGGAATTTAAGTATTAGGAATGGTTATTAATTTTAAGTGATTACAGTTAATTTTAGTTTTAGTGTAGTATTACAACAATAATATTAATTGCCATCCATGAATCTTGTGGTTGTACAGGCCTTGCAAAGTCCCTCTAAACTTGTGGAGCAGGCAAAATCTATAGTAGATGGTAATCCTGGACTGTTCAACTCTGAAATTTCAAGTGATCCAACATTTGATGAGAGCAATGATGATGTTTTCGCTGAAGATGCTGAAGAATTTCCTCGAAAACGGAGACCGGGCTTAGGCCTCAAGCGTGCACGTTTCTCTTTAAAGCCAACTAGAAAGTAAAGCTTATAATCATCATTTTCACTATCGATATCCCTTTCCTCTTGCTGTTTTTTTTTTATTTGCATACTTGTTTCTCATGTATCCATCTTGCAGCCCATCTATTGAGAATTTGATACCCAGCTTGGACATCCAAAACCTGAAAGATCCAGTGGAATTCTTCATGGCCCACGAACGGTTAGAAAGTGAGTCACTGTTTGATTACGCGCTGGATGGCATTTCTATGGTTTGCTCTTAACTTTCTTATTGGATTTGAATTTCATGAATAGATGCAAAAAGAGAAATACAGAAGCAGATGGGTGGTGTATCATTTGAGCCAAATCAGGATAATTTGTCCGCTAAACCACGACAACGTCGACCAGGACTTCTGGGGAATAATCAGCGGTACTGTCATCATATTTAAATAATCAGTCTCCATTGTCCTTGTTTATGATGTTTGTCATTGTTTATTCTGTTGTTTAATATCGTCTTAATATTATATGGGCCAGACCAATCAGATACAGGCATCGGTATCCAATAGAAACTTCTGACAATAATGATCATGTTCCATCCTCTCAAGAGGCATTTGGATCTGACAGTCTTGATCCTGTTGGTGAGAACAATGACAAAGGTGGAGCTTGTCTTACATCATTGGAAAATGAAGTAACCGGTGGGTAAATGCTACTCTGTACAATATGGGCAGGCTTTATTACCTCCCAGTACATCTTATTCTTTCATTCATCTTGCCTTTTTCTCCTAATCTCAATACCCTTTTTCATACTTTAAAACATTCCTATTATGTGTTTTGTTGCAGATTCATCTACTATTGAAGAAAACAAGCTCAATGATATATTGGATGGATTGCTTAGTTGCAATTCTGAAGATCTAGAGGGGGATGGGGCACTTACTATTTTGCAGGAGAGGTTACAGATCAAACCCATTGTTGTAGAGAAATTATCTGTTCCGGACTTCCCAGATGACCAAGTGATTGATCTAAAATCTTTTCGAAGCAACTTGTCAAAGCCAAGGAAGGCTTTATCCAACATAGATAATTTGTTGAAAGGAATGAATAATAAGACACCTCTTAGACAGGATGTAGGATGCCCTGTGCAGCAGTTAGCTTCACCCACTCCACCAAGAAGTCCATTTGCTTCATTGTCAGCATTGCAGAAGCACATTTCACGGTCAAAGCCATCAGTAGATCCATTTTCAGCTCGAGAAATTGATCATTTATCCAGAAGAAACTATTCTCCGACTAATATGATAAACCAGGATTTCAATCTAGTTGGTTCTGGGAAGCCATCAAATGAACTGAATGCACATATAATTGAACATGTTACTGCCGTAAGTAAGACAAGTTCAGTTTTGGATACTGTCAGAAATTGTGCCAGTACTTCTGAAAATTCCAAGGAAGATAATTCTGAGAAGTCATCAAATAAACTGAATGAAGCATTAATTGAAGATATGTTTGCCGTTAGTCAGACCAATTCGGCAGAGGACATTGTTAGAAACTGTACCAGTACTTACCAAATGTCCACGGAGGATAATCCAATGGAACCTGGGTTTGGGGCTAATATTGACTCAAATGAACCTCATATTGACATGGATGTGGAAATTGGAGGCAGTGGTAAGGGTAAAAGTATTATCGATGACATGGTAGGCAGGTCAAATATGGAGGCAAATGAACCTTGTCAATTTGAGGACAAAGTACGTTTCCTTTGAGTATTTTAGTTTTATCATCTGAAATTATTGGGAAAGTTTTAAATCTGAATAAATTTTTTGTATTATGATATATGCAGGCAGAAAATGTGCCGGCATCTGCAGCTTCTATGCCAACAGATGATAGGAATTTCAACTTGGTGAATCCACTAGGTATGTATATATGCATCTGCTTCTGAGATATATTCACAGTGCAAGTAACTGAAAGCAGAATGACTAAATACTATATCAACGGCTGATTAATCCATGACTGACGTGGAATCATCTCGTTAATATGTTTCACTATTATAACTGTATGCTAGGCATAATATTTTATTAACTGCTTATGAAAACTGATGCAATAGTAATTTAATTAATTCAATTGAAATGTATTGTACATTATTTTTTTGAGCAGTTGGACAGGCTGAGAAGCATAAACTTCTTAATTTATCCCTCGTTGGCAGGGGGAAAAATTGGCTACTTGAAATCACCATTTTCTGTGTGCTTTTAAATTTTCTTTCTTTTAATGATGCAAGGATTTCATTTATTTATTGATTGCCAATTTACTATTGCTGCATTATTCATCAGTTCACTTTTAGCAATGCACAAGGAATTTAATTTTCATTTACTCATCAATATATGCAAAAAGCCATCTGTTTGTGTTCATGTCAAGCTAGTTTTTCTTGTGAAGTTACACTTGTTCAGAATGCATTTCTCTGCAAAATGTCGAGTTTCATTTGCATTACTGACTAAATAAAAGAAAAATAAACAACGACAATTAATTTATGCACGAGGACTACTGTCATGCGCAAGGCTAGTTTACTCCATTTAAAGTCCTTTGGCTTAGGAGATGCCTTTACGCTGAAAGGCTATGCAGAAATCTTTGAACCTGCAGCACTGAGCAGATTTTGTACATGCATTAATGCTTATGACCTGAAGCTATATTATGGTCCTCGTTGCCAATATGACGTCATTTTCCTGCTTAGAGTACCTTTTTTCTTGATCGTTGTTAATACTTAATAGGTTATTCTTCTTGTTATTTACGGTAAATGTGATGGGTTTGTGGACAGAAACCAACACTAGAATTTTATGAACATTCAAAATGTTACTATGTAATTGTAGGGTATGAGACTTGAGTCCCACATTGGTTATATGGGTGACTAAGTGGGGTTTATATAGACTTTGGACTCTCCTACTTCTTGAGCTAGCTTTTGGGGTGAGGTTCTCTCAAGGTTCGTATCAATTGGTATCAGGACCTTCCACTATGTCTCCCGGCTGCAATCGAACGGCGCGGCTGGTGATGCTGGCATTGCGTGGGCGTCGAGGCTATGAAGCGTGGTGGAATGTTACGATCTAATTGCAAGATATGGGACTTGAGTCCCATATTGGTTATACGAGTGACTAATGGGGGGTTTATATAGACTTTGGGCTCTCTTACCTCTTGGACTAGCTTTTGAGGTGAGGCTCTCCCAAGATCAACATCAACAACACTTTTATCCCAAACTAATTGGGGTTGGTGGTAGATGAACCCAAATAAAGGTACGAAGGGATAAAAATAAAATAAAATAAAATAATAATAATAATATATATATATATATATATATATATATATATATATATATATATATATAAAGTAAAAATAAAAGGGGTGTAAATAAATAAATAAAATATGGGGAAAAGATGGGGAAGGGGAAAAGAGATAAAGGAAAAGAAGGGGAAAAGAAGAAGGGGGAGATGAAGGGAAAAGGACTAAAAAGGGACCATTTGGAACATAGGAATAACAACAGGTCTAACTGTCCACCATGCTAATAGCTTTTCTCTATTCTGTCCTAAGGACACTATCCACCAATCTATATTTCACTCCATTAAGTTTTGTTTTATTACCTTTCCCCAAGTAAGTTTCGGCTCTACCAAGATTCATATCATAAAATGTTTGAAGAAAAGACCCAAAGTGTATTTATTGAAAAGTTCAATGGTATCATTTGATCCATGTATTTCACTCCACCTAGTGGAATGAGGCTTATTGTTGTTGCTGCTGATAACTTGTTATAACAATGTAGTAAACTCCCCAGATAAGTTGCCATTTGATCTAAAATCAGGGAAGTATTTGTTTTATGTACGTTTGATGGCGCTAACTCAGTGGTGGTATGCATTAGCTGATCAATCAAGTCCTGCTGGGTTTCAAGCCAATACTATGGATAAATGCACCAGAAGATCAGATGATGGTCCAGAACAGTATTTGCAGGTTACTAGCTTTTCTGATTTCCTTTTTTACATTCCCCTTAGGTTTTGTACTCATGTAATCATTATTATTTTTGAAAAAACAATTTGATGCTAATAGGTTGAGCTGTCTGGGCATTAAACTTGTAAAATAAATAACCGCAATATAATGTTCATTTACGTGTTTCCAAGGGCTCAAATCTTAAGGACGAAAGCAATTAAGCATCATAAAATACTAGCTGCTTTTAGAATTGAATCTCTCTGTCTTCTGGTACAGGAAAAGACAGACGGTACTATGGCGCCTGTTAATGGACAAAGGAGAGTTAAATCACGTTCGCAAAGAAAATCTAAGGATAAAAGACTTCCACGGAGGCAGAGCCTTGCAGGTTTCTACATACCATTTATTTCGATGAATTCCTTTTGTTGTTGTGAAGTTAATTTTTTTTTATCTTCTCAGCTGCTGGTACATCATGGAAGTCTGGATTAAGGAGAAGCACCAGGATCAGGACAAGGCCTTTGGAATACTGGAAAGGAGAACGATTGGTGTATGGTCGCGTACACGAAAGTGAGTACCATCATAATGCTTTATCATGGGCACGCACTTGGTGAATTAGAAGTTTGTTTGGGGTGGGGTGGGGTGGGGTGGGGTTGGTCACTAGACTAGATATTTTGGTACACCATGACTTCTGCGTTTAGATAACTATCTGCACACTGACACAGAAAAACATGTTTTACTAGCGTAACACGTTACTAACTATAGTGGAAAAGCAAACTCATAAAATATTTGTCATTAAATACTGGTGCAAGCCGAGAGTTTCTTATTTTGTTTTATCCATTTAGCTTTGACGCTTTGAATGTGAAGTGAAGATTAAATTGTTCTTGTCACGTATCCTTCCCATTAGAGTTAAAATAAATTTATCTGTGCAGGTCTGGCTACTGTCATTGGGGTGAAGTGTATGACTCCAGGAAGTGATGGGAAACCAACTATGAAGGTGAAATCTTACGTATCGGATAATTACAAAGAGCTTTTGGAGTTGGCTTCTTTATATTGAAAGTAAAATACATTCTGCCATATTTTCTTGAACGTCCTATTCTAGTGTATCTTTTGGGGGAAGATTCTACGGTGCTCTTAGACTAAAGAGCTGCATGGATATTATGGAATTGTCATGCTATTATCAGTAAAGTGTATTTTGTAATAAACTCATGTGATGGTTATCTATTTTTAAAGCCCCTTGTATTATTGTTATGTACTTTATAGTCGAATTTAGTCATCATTATTAGAGTTCGAAACGAAATCAAAGAATCCAGAAATGCTGCACCAACGCGACCAGCCATCACGGCAAGCCCCTGTCGTGATCCACTCCTAAACCCTGCGCACCTCCACCACACCTGTTCCTCGTTCACTCCCCCTTGCGATCCCGTGGACCTGTGTTCTTTTGATTTTTGTGGGGTCTTGATTTGGTGTCCGGAACTTTTTTTTTTTACTCAATGATAGTACTGAAATTCAAATTTATAATTTCGTACAAATATTCAAGTCCCTAGGCTTGAGTTCAGAAAATATTTTGGTTAGTTCAAATCAGCTGCGGCTATCCACCAAGTTGACTCAGTGGGTTTGATATAAGGGAGAGAATGGAGCGGTTTGTTCAGGACATTTGCACAATTTTAGTTCAAACGAAATGTTTATTCATAGTTGGGATCTAATTTACTAATAAGATTTTTTAATCGGAAATCAACATATTTATGTTTTTATTGAGTGCAAGGGTTAACTTATATAATAATTAAAAGTAACCAATTTGACTAAATTACCTTAATTTGATATTGCCAGGGAATGAATCTAAACGAAATTACGAATCAAAATTGATAAAATGATGTTGAAGAATGGTCGATATTCAAATAGCAAGAAAATCTGCTTGGTTCTGCATTATTCTGAAATTACCAATTCAAGCTACCATAGAAACCACACGTCATGTATAGTGCTAACCCGCATGAAAATTGACCAAGCTTAAGGGTACTGACTTTCAAGGTCTAAACTTAAAATGGTTCGGGAGAAATTTTTTTTACTAGGGAAATGTAATTGATAGGAAAGTGGTTGGAAAGTGAGTTTGATAGGAAAATGTAAAAAAAGTTGTTTGGTTGACCCAAATATTACCAGAGAAATTTATTTAAATATGCAAAATCTATGTTCGGGAGAAACTTTGCACCTGTTTTTTCACTTCTCCAGTCATCTCAAAATACCACATCTCAAGTGGTATTCTGTAACAGTGAATTTCATCCAAAAATCAACACAAAAGTCATTTTCTCATCTAACATATTTGCCTGGTATCTCTTGAAAAAACCTGAACCAAACATGATATTTTTCAATATCCACCTACACTTTCCCATTAATCCTAAAATAAACCTTCAACCAAACACTAGCTAAGGGATTGCAACTTCGCTCACTAGAACTAGAAGCATCTATCATTACGACATTGGTACGTGATTAAATTATTTGTTTTTCAGATAAAAACTTTTTTTTACAGCTTTAAAATAATTTTTTTTAAAAGAAACTAAAATGAACATATACTTGTAATCTTTCATGTATTTGAGAGTATAAAATTCCTCTGCACTTCATATGGTGTTGGACGTAACTATATGTTTTGGTTCTTTTGTAACTAAGGGTAGAAATGATTTAAGCCTTGCCTTAAATGAGTCAATATATGTTTTTGACATATTTTTAAACACATAGAGGTATGTTATATTTATATTAAAAAAATTCATTTTAACCTGTTACAAGTTATTAAATAACAAGAGAGAAGAGAAGAACATTTGAAATAATACTCTGTGTATTGACTGATGAAGGCTGTACAATATATAAACAGACTAATGGGCTAAGCCCAAACCTAATGTAATCTGACCTAATACAAAATAAGGAAATCCTAATTACAAAATAAGGAAACCTTAATTACAATATATTTTTAACACTTCCCCTCAAGCTGGAGCTTATAGGTCATATGCACCAAGATTGTTACATATAAACTCTATTCGAGGGTCCCTCAAAGATTTTGTAAACACATCTGCTAATTGCTCATTAGAGGGTACAAAGCTAGTTTTAATTTCACCAGCAAGAACCTTTTCTCAAACAAAGTGGCAATCTATTTCTATATGCTTGGTTCTTTCATGAAACACTGGATTTGATGAAATGTGTAGAGCTGCTTGATTATCACAAATGAGAGTTGCCTGTCCAGTGTCTCCAAACTTAAGTTCTCTGAGAAGCTGTTTAAGCCAGATGAGCTCGCAAGTAGTAGTCGCCATGGAGCGGTATTCTGCTTCAGCACTTGATCTGGCAACTACACTTTGTTTCTTACTTTTCTAAGAAATCAAGTTGCCTCCAACAAAGACACAATACCCAGAAGTAGATCTCCTATCAGTTGGACAACCAACCCAATCAGCATCACAGTACCCAACCACTTTATCACGACCTTTATCTTCATATTCAAGGCCTTTTCCTGGAGATGCCTTGATATACTTAAGAATACGAATGACTGCATTCCAATGTTCTTGACATGGAGAATTGAGAAATTGACTGACAACACTAACTGCAAAGGAAATATCAGGCCGAGTGACTGTGAGGTAGTTCAATTTTCCAACCAATCTTCTATACTGCTCAGGATCCGAAAAGGGCTCCACCTGATTCGGTAGAAGCTTGATACTTGGATCCATAGGAGTATCAACAGACTTTGAATTTAACAGAGCAGTTTCTTCAAGAATATCCAGAGCATATTTCCTCTGAGATATCACAACACCAGCTTTAGATTGGGCCACCTCGATTCCCAAGAAGTATCGAAGTTTCCCAAGATCCTTAGTCTGAAAATGATGACATAAGTGTTGTTTCAATCGAGTGATCCCATGCTGATCACTGCCTGTGATGACAATATCATCCACATATACCACCAGATAAATAGATCCAGAAGCAGAATGACGATAAAAGAGAGAATGATCAGCTGCACTCCGAGTCATGCCAAATTGTTGAACAACACTGCTAAATTTACCAAACCAAGCTCTTGGAGATTGTTTGAGGCCATAGAGAGACTTACGAAGACGACAAACAAGACCTGACTCCCCCTGAGCAACAAATCTAGGAGGTTGCTCCATATAAATTTCTTCCTCAAGATCACCATGAAGAAAAGCATTCTTGTTTGGTGCTGAAACTTGCACCCGCGCGTGAGAGCGCGTGGGTGGTCTTCTGAGGGAGCGGCCGGTGCCGGTGTGACCGCGTTGTCAAGACGATCACGGCGGTAGGCTGCGTGCCTGAAAATTCCACCGGACGGTGGTGGTTGACGGTACAGAAGCGTGAAGTAGAAGAAAATCTTTCGGAAACTGACAATGAGACAGTTCCAGATTTTTTTTTTTTTTTTTTTTTTGTAAAATACGATGAACAGTGGCTTCACCGGAATTTTTTTTTCCTTAGGCTCTGATACCATATTAAATAACAAGAGAGAAGAGAGGAACATTTGAAATAATACTATGTGTATTGACTGATGAAGGTTGTACAATATATAAACAGACTAATGGGCTAAGCCCAAACCTAATGTAATCTGACCTAATTACAAAATAAGGAAACCCTAATTACAATATATTTCTAACACAAGTGTTGATTTAATTTTGATTCAACAACAAAAATATTTATAAGAGATTGAAAGTATAATCTTCCTATTATATATATATATATATATATATATATATATATGAGTTAGGATCATTTTACACCAGTGTAAGTTACACTCTCAATCTTGATCGTTGATCGCACTTATATCTAAGGGCTCTAATGTTTTAGTAATGTGAGCCATTGGATATAAGTGGATCAATGCTCAAGATTGAGTGTAAGACTTCTAACTCTTACACTTGTTAAGAATATCTTGCCCCTATATATATATATATATATATATATATATATATATATGAACAAGATTCTTTGACACCGGTGTTAAATTAAAAAATTCGACATCAAATCTTAATCGTCGATTTTCATCAATTTAATGATTATAATTTATTGGAAAATTATTAATTAATTAATAAATATGATCTAATAAATTATAACCATTAGATTCATAAAATCAACAGTTGATATTTGGTGTTAAACTTTTTAGTTTGATACTAGTATCAAAAGATCTACCATATATATATATATATATATATATATATATATATATATATATATATATATATATTGATTGATGCTGCTCTTATTTTATAAGTATTATTTGAACAAAGTAATACCAAGGAGAGGACAGTTATTCGTTACACAGTTGTGGATTTGGATAATAATTGTTACCTAATTGAATTATTGCATTCATCATTTTATCCGGCCATATTTTGATTAAGTTATTGTGTAACGTGCTCATCACACCTTTTGTCTTTGTATTTCTTCTAAATTGGTTGCATTTGCCTAACTATATCGTTATTAAGATATATTCACATTATTACGCTATCAGCTTCATTGCATTTGTTGTGTTATATACTTGTATATTGTATTAATTAAATTCGACGCTGGAGAACAGCTCTCGCTTTTAAGATTTAAAAGGCAAGTCTGTCCCCACGTTGTCAGGGCTCGTGATTTGTATGTATGCTTTTTAAATTAAAAATTGGTGACCCCACTATAAAATAATTAACGTATATTTTTTAAAGTTATTGATTTTTTAAAATTAAAAGTCTAAAGTAATAAATAACATTATTCACTTAAAAATGTGAGAGCATTTTCTGCATGTCTTCTGGAATAGACATTTTTTTTAATAATAATAATAAGATTTTAGAGTGGACAATCATATATATAGTCCTACTTACGTTAAGTACGGCTATGTTCTTATTAATTTTGTTACTAAAGAGGTTAATCAAAGGTATTGATGGGGGCATTGGTCATATAGTTTAGATAGACACTCTGAAGACAATAAAATTTAGTGCATGCTTCATCGTGAAGTTTGGAACAGGTGACTTTAGATTTTGTAAGAAGGCCCCTTTTGCCAATGAGGTCAGATTTCAGTTTGGTCAAAGACCATTGACACCATGACTACTAAAAATAAAGGCTAAGACAAAAATTCACCTTTTTTTATATGTGAATATCCACATTATTATCTTAACATGCTAGCTAGTATTAGGTATTATTTTAAAACATCATATAAGAAATTATAGAGTTTACTATAAATATAAGGATAAATTTAAAATTGATTTCATAATTACTAAATTAATGTATTTTGTTTTTTGGATACAGATGAAAGAAAGAGACAAACAACAAACTACAAGCTAATCAGTCTAGGCATTTCAAAGCCCTTAATATCATCTAACACCAGCTCCATGCAACCTTCTGGAGTTTGGTCATACCAGTGGGTAACTAAGTCATCATCATCAGCATGTTTAGCCATCCAATCTG